AAAAAAAAAAAAAAAAAAAAAAAAAAAAAATCTCTCGTGTCCCCCAAGCATATTCCTATAAAGTAGTAATGCTCTGCTATGTTTCTTTCATAACCATGAAAGAATTGCTGCTATTGTGAAACGTGCTTTTCTCCACTGTTTTCTCTGAATGATAGGACCCAAGGGACAATTTTTAGGAGCTAGCCTCTGTCTCTAACATGCCCCAATGAGTCTTTTTTTTTTTTTTTTTTTTTTTGGTAACTTACCGTTAATGAATTTCCATTAGACCTTCTTGAATAACTGCAAGACTTTATATAGTCTTAACTAAAAAATAATAGATTAGAACTATGCCAAGCAACACTATTTAAAGGATTGGTGGCAGGCATAAGAACTAGAAAATTAACAGAAAGACTCACAGGAAGATCATTTTTAGAGTCAGAGAGGTGAGTCTCCTTTGAATACTCTATAATGAAGAAACTTCTCTTCACTTTCCCTCTTTAATATTTATCCCTCATCATCTGACAACTTCTCCAAATTCTTGATAAGAACATCTAATCTCCTACTTTACATAGATGCATAATATGCATGTAATTCTTGATTCCACCATCTCTCCTCAAAACTGTTCTATCCCTAGTCATTGCCAAATATCCAGTTGCTCAGGCCAGAAACCTAGCAGTCATTCTTGATTGTTCTCTTTACTTCACTCTCTAACAGCAACTTGATCAACAAGTCCCCTGTCTCCAAAACACATCCTAAATCCCCGTTTCTAAAGATACTCTTCTAGTGCCTGAAGTCTGCTAACTGGCCTCTCTGCTTCTACTTTTTGCCACCCACGCAATCATCCTCCCCATAGAAGCCACAATGATATTATTTAAAAATCTAAAACATATTTAAAAATCTTCATCTCTCTGGTAATGGACAGTGAATTTCCTTAAGGGTGACATAACTTCTGTTTGTTACCAGTTAATTTACTTCATTTATGGTGCTATCTTATAGTCAGTTGTAAAATGCAAAAAATATTAATGTAAAATTACAAAGCATTCTAAATGTAATGCATTCTTTTAAAATACTATTTTAGGATTATCTTCAATAGATCTACAACCTAAGGTCTTTGTGCTCCTTTTGAAAATCACTTGTAAAAGCAGAATATTAAACAAATACCTCAATAGTTCTGAAAGGGTAAAATTATGTGAAATATCTTATGAAAAATTACACCATGTGTGTGTTTGGTTTTTTTGGCTGTGCTGTGTGGCTTGTGGGATCTCAGTTTTCCACTAAAGGACTGAACCTGGGCCACGGCAGTGAAAGCCCAGAATCCTAACTACGAGGCCACCAGGGAACTCCCCATAACATGTTTTAAGGATGCACTTAATCTAAAATGTCTATTTCCACGATCTATTATTTCCCATTCCTTGTCACTTTCTTTGCACCAGCCCTTCCTTTGAAGTGATATTAAGTAGCAATGGTAAGACTGTAAAAGCATTTAAAGTTCCCAAAGGGGACAGAATGCAACAACTTTTAAGATATTCAAGTACAACTACACTCAAAGATAGAACAGATGGTTCTTGCATGAGGTCATGATCAACCTGAAAAGGCTGCTTGAAAATAGCTCAGCATTAAGTAAAATTTAAAAATACTACACATAGCAAGCTCACCCCAAACTGTGTATAATTTTATCTTCCATTTTTATTTTAATAGGTGAAATTTGAAATTTTTTATGATGTAAGATTTGGTGAGTCTCTTCTCCTATCTTTCATAACGTAATGATTTCATTGACATCAATCTGCTCATGCAATCAATGTATATTACATATATTTTAAAAAGTCTCCTAATATAGTTCTTAAGAACTAATGTGATGCAAGAATACTTATGTGAATCAACGAAGTCAGAACAACCCACAGCAAATAACTTTATAGCCTACTAGTGGCTTCAATTTATATGCTTTAGTGAAAGGGCATTGGACTTGGGATAGAAAACCTAAAATTTTGATCTTGGATATACACTGACTAGCTGTACAACCTTGGGAGGACATTTAAGCCATCTACAAAATGAGAGGTATTAAACCAAATGAATTACAAGATTCTGATATCTTTCGAATCTCATCAACAATTCTGATAGCTTGGTATTAAAAACAAATCACTCTATTTCAGATATTATTTCTTGGTAGAAAGAACATGAATTTCTAGTTTAAAAAAAGAGCTTAAGAATCCCCTTCAGGTTAAAACAAAACCAAATCCTTTGATGTAACCATATGGTACCCATAAATCAATTTATGCTCCTAAAACTTCCTTAAAAGCTAATAAGCTTTATTGGTTAATTATAAAACTGAATGAGGTGAGAAAAGCACAGAACCTTGCTAATTCCACTAATGAATCAAATTTAAAGAACATAAAAGAGGTAAATGGTTTGATATGCAAAAATATACATTTTATTAAACTAACAGCTTTCCAGTTTTATTTCAGTTTTAAGCAGAAACATTAGAAACAAATTTTTTTAACAATAAAGCAGGAACTACTTTAAATTTCCCAATTCCCATGCAGATGACTCTATTTCATATAAAGTTAGGTAAACTGTATAAAGCTTATTTCAATTCAGGATTGTATTGTATAGGACTTACCACATAATTTCAGTAATTAATGCTGTGTTTATTATTTCTTCAGTTTTATTTTCATATGAATTTAGCTTAAACTTTGAAGAATAATATAACACAGGCTTAAATTACTTGTTATTAATAAACATTTATTAAATGCCTACTATTAACCAGAATTCTTCTTGGTGCTGGAGATACAATACTGAAAGATCAAGCCCTGCATTTAAGGACCGTGGTTAGGTGAGATTAGAGATAAAAAGGGAATTATAACAATGTGACAAGTACAGGCACAGAAGTAAGGCTAGAGAACTACAGGAGTAAATAGAGCTAAAGAAGGTATCCTACCTAGTGTAGGGCATCAAGGAAGACTTCTTAAAGGAAGTGACATATAAGCAGAGACCTCCCAGCTGTGCTTCCCATCTTTTACCCACAAGGACCACTTGGGCCAGATGTCGTAGTGTTTTCACCTATTTCGACTATGTCATATGTGTATCATGGCAAAGGCCAGGAAAGGAACATATACTTGATCATCTTTAGAAGTAAAAGGGTAGGAATTTCCTTACTGGAGACCAGAAGTTTGACATCAATTTCTTCGGGGGTGTTCTGGGTTAGCAGTAAATACCCCTTTTTTCCATCTAGAAAGGAAGATTTTGGGGTATAGAAAGTATATTACGTGAAGGGCTGCCACGTGAAGAGCTGTGTAAAGACAGAGGCGGTAGCTTAATGTCGGGTTGAGAAAGCGCTGAAAGCTAAGCCAAGGACCTTAAACTTCTTTAGTTCCGATGTTTATTGAGAGCGTTTGCAAGGTAGGCACGCGCCAGCGGAAAGAAAGATTGTAAATAAACAACCACAATGCCTTAAGATAACTGCTATAATGGAAGTATTTCCAAAACACAAAGTTAACACCAAAAAAGAGGAACACCCAAGTGTGCCCAAGGGGATCAGGGAAGGCTCGCCCAGGATGGCCTTGAACCAGGCGTGGGAGTGTACCCCACGGTGCCCGGGAGAAGGACATTCGGGACCCAGCGGCCTCGGCACGGCCGCCAGAGCGCGGAGCCGCGGCGGACAGCTCCCACGCGCCGGGGCGAACCGCAGGGACTGGGAGACTCCGGGCTCGGAAAGCAGGGCTGAATCCGGCCGGGAGCTTCGGACTGCTGTCCTCCTGGACCCAAAGGGAGCCTTTTGGGAGGAGGGGGCGGGTGCGACAGGGACACGAACACAGAGCTCGCCCCCAACCCAGACTGCAAAGGAGCCAGTGGACGGACACAGGCGGTGCCGTCTCTCCACCGTTCTGCGGGACTTACCGGGACAACCCTTCCTCCTTGGTTTTGAAAGACGCCCTTCCGTGATTTACCAGTTTGGCCTGAATCTTAACTACTGCTGTCTACAAGTTTCTAAATTTCCTCTTCTCAAAAAATAAAAAAAGAAAAGGAAAGACTTTCTCTTTCCTTCCCCAAGCAAAGTCGACCGTTTGGCGCCTAGCACCCTGCCCCGGAAAGCTCCTGGGGAGCACTTCGAATTCGGTGCCTTCTCGTCCATGGCCCCGCCTCTTCCGGGAAGTGACTGTCCCCTTTCCGCGACCGCGGCCGTACGCTCGGCTTCTCGGGCTCCCAGCCGGTCGCTGTACGCATGGGTGGAACTGTAGTCCTGGGGCTCCGAGCTTTCTTCACTTTCACTTAGGCAAATCACCCGCCCCGCTCCCCGCGTCCCGCTATCGCCGAGCCCTAAGCTTCTACAAGCTTTCTCCGTCCGCCCAGGGGCACTTCCGGCCCCTCTTAGACGCCAGTGGCGCGAAAAACCCCGAACTGCGCACGCGCGGGCGGAGTCCCGGCGGGAGGGGGGGCGGGGCGCAGGCGCGGAGTGTCCCGCGGTGGGCGCCGGGGCGGCCGGGCTGCTGCCTTCTCCCGCTGTGGGCGCGCAGAACCCCGCGGGCCGACGGCGGCCGGCCGACGCCGAGACGCCCCTCGGGTGGCTTTAGCGTCCTGTTGCGCCACGGCCGCCCCGCCGATCAGGTTCCTTCGGGAGACTTCGACTTGTTCGAGGTAGGGTGAGGGCGCGCGCCGTCGCTCTCCCTTGCTGCGGGTCCATGCCCCTCCACCGCACTCGTAGCTGGCGCCCCCAGCCCACCTGGTGGCGGCCGGGTCAGCGAAGCTGCTACAGTGTCTAGGGGGCCCGGGCGGCCCGGCCCACGGCCGGCGGGGATCTTCTCGCCCTCTCCGCAGGCGGCACAGGTCCCCTCAGCCGCGGGAAACTTGCCCGTGTGTCCGCTGGGCTCCGCCCTCGAGCGGCTCTGGCGGCGAGGCTTGCCAATGCCGGCTCGGGCTGCGGGACCCGGCGCGCGGCCCAAAACGGCCCTTTAGGCTTTGACGAGGGGCTTGGGGGGTATAAGGGTCGGGGGGTGAGGTTGGGTTCGGGAATCGGGCTTTTATCACCCGTTTGATGGTACCTCGCAAGTAGCAACTTAAGAATGTTTAAGAGATGTATGTAAGTATTACTTAAATTGGATTTGCTGCTAAAATGCCAGTTTCATGAGAACGCAAACTCTTCTGTACCTGGAAGAATTAAATTATGATGTTTGGAGGTTTTATGATGTTATTTCTTTTCCCTGATTTTCTCGTGGAGATGAGCTGGAGAAGAATCACTATTGGGAATTGCGGAACACAGGACTCAAGGGTAGAGAAAGGGCTTGAGAGGATCCTGGGATAATTCCTAGAAAGAGCAACTATTTGCTGTTTAAACCCTGAAGACAGAACTTATGTGAGTGCTTACTGCTCTGTATATTTCATGAGGAGACGATTACAAGCGAGTGTTTTGAAGACAAGCTACTCTGGAATGTATATTCAAAAGAAAAAGAGTCCAAATTCGCTGACGGCTTTTAGACGGCTGCTATGTAGTCTTTTAAAATGTTCACTGGCACATGCACTTGCTTGCAGAGAGTTCCATGGGTGCATGAGTGGAGAGGGACCATATTGGAACTACTTAGATTTACTTTATCTCGTTCTTTTACTGTGTGAAATATGCAGAGTAATAATTTCCTATGAGAATGTGTATTTACAGTTGTGTTGTTTTTTTTTCCTTGAATGGCTGTAAGTACAAAGAAGTTTGGAGATTACTAGAATATTGCTTAAAAAACATGTTTTTGTGCAAGACAGAACCAGTGTTAATGTGACCCCCGACAAGTCAGTACCACCTCTGCAAATATCAGTTCCTTTTCTGTAATTGGAGAAAATAACATGGTCCCTAACTCACAGGATTCTTAAATATGTGAGGGTGGGGGGATAGAGAGAGAGAGTTAGAGTTTTATCTCTGTACCTGTCTATAATTAGTATGAAGTATTTAGAATTGAGCCTGGCAAAAGTCAGCACAAATGGCATATTAAAGTGGTTACAGTGAAAAACCAGTTTCATTCTCAAAAGTTTATTTTACAGAGTATATTTTACTGAGTGCCTGGATGTAGAATTTTGTGTAAAACCTGCCTAAATCTTGACTATCATATTTAGACCTAAGTTAGGAAAATTAATCAAAGCCGTACTTGGCTTACTTTCAGGAATTAATAAATCAAAATTTTACCACAATAGTATGCATTATATTTAAGGCATAATTAAATGTCACAGTTTTATATATATATATATACACACACACACACACACACACACACACACACACAAGTCCAGATGACTGAGGGTCAAGTGTAGATACTTACATTAATGTTAGTGTTTTGGATTCACTAGTTAATGAGATACATCTTTCTCACTAAACATAGTTTCCCTGGTGACCAAATTCAGAACACTTCCTGTGGCTTTCTTAGCTCCACTCCCAAATCTGCCTCTACTGCAGAGTATATTTTATTGCCTATGGCCTCTCTATCTCAGGAGCACTTAAAACTCAGTGTTTTCAAACAACATAAATGTATTATTTATCCTCCTTCCTTTCCAAACCTGCTCAGTCTACTGATAACGGCATTTAGTATTAAGAGTAAAGGTTGTTTCCGAAAATTAAACACAAGGTAAAATTCTATAAAGCAAGCCCAAGTTTTAATTGGCTTGAATAAGTAATATTAGAGGGACATATCACATTAGAATCCTTTATGTAGTTTTATACATTAACGAAGGATGGACAAGAAGATGAACAGCTTAATATCCAATTTCACTGCCTATAAATAGTCAAACTTGGTTAAACTCAGTTCATACCATGAGGAACCTGGACGTTAAAGAGGTTTGACTTTGGGTTTTGACAACCTGGGTTTGGATCTAGGCTCTGCTAAGTTATAGCTACATAAGTCTGAGTATCTTTTAATTGAGCCTCAATATCCCCTTTTGTAAAATAAGGACAATACTTAGAAGGATGTTGAGGATTAAAGGAAAGGCTTGTACCTCTTAATCCCCTTCGGGTATTTCATCCCCAACCCCTCCCTCTGGCAACTATACGTTTGTTCTCTGTATCTGTGAGTCTGTTTTCATTTTGTTTTGTTTCTTCTGTTTTTTAGATTCCACATATAAGTGAGATCATATGGGTATTTGTCTTCCTCTGTCTGACTTATTTCATTTAGCATAATACCCTTTAGATTCACCCATGTTGTTGCAAATGGCAAGATTTCATTTTTAATGGTTGTGTAATATTCCATTGTGTGTGTATGTGTGTATCACACCTTTATCCATTTATCTGTTGATGGACACTTAGGTTCCTTCCATATCTTGCCTATTGTAAATATTGCTGCAGTGAACATTGATGTGCATGCCACTGCTTTTGTTCAGCACCCCTTATCCTTTAGAGACTGGTCTCTTTTGCCCCTATTCTTACTCTCTCTGTTTCGTTTGTCTTCTATATTGAGGTCACAGGGATTTTTTAAAACACAAATCTGAGTGTTCACATTTTATTATCTGAAGTGCTGTGCTTAGTACTTCCTAGTTTTGCTTATCTGGAATTGTTTGATGGATGGCCTAATGACTTTTTTCACTTATTTATATTATTTATTATCTATTGCATCTCACATTACTTCATGATATATTCCAAGTAGTGTGCTTAATTAATTCAGTACATTAAAAATGAGGTGATATAATGCAGAATGAATTTGTCTGTGGTGGTGGGAGAAGTGGAATTGGGAATGAGGTAAGTAGTCCATGGCAGATTCAGAAGCAGCAACAGTTTGCCTTTTCTTAACCATTGTTTTCTATTAATAATTCCAGTTCTGTTATGACTGTTCTCACTGCTGTTAACCCCTACTTTGATATGAATGGGAAGTGTGAATCACTGCATACTCACAATAAATTTGAAAATTTAGAAATTTATAGTCCTTTGTTAAAATGCTTTTGGTCTCTATCAAATTTCCTGTGTACATGCTTGCTGTAATTAACCCTTGGTGATTGATTTTTCTTCTTGAACTTTTTTTTTATTGAGAATCTGCATATTTGTTACTGTTCCTGCTCTGATGGAGTTTGCTTTCTGCGAGGGGGAAATGATATGTCCCTTAATTTTAATTTTTTTATTGTAAATAAACAAATATTAAAGACCATGAAGAGCTTTATGGATATATTGAAAATCCCAGAGGAGTTTTTTTTTTCTATTTTTATATATTGCAGGATATTAAAAGTGTTTTTCTTTGCATCTGTTTATATGTCTCTTTAGCCTATTAGAAACAATTTTACTATTGTAACCTAAAATTAACTCTCAAGACATTCATGTGTGTTTTTAAAAATCCATTATCATTAAATTACAAAGTGATTCCTATTTTAAAAGGTAGGATCCTTCAGTGTCTGTTAGATGCAAGTTACCATGGCAACCTAACAGCAAACTGCAAATCCCAGGCTAAGCACAGCAAATAAAAAACATCATTGTCACGTAGCACACTGTCTTCCGTCTTGTATAGAATCTCACATTCGTTGTGAGGAGCTAATCACATTTACCTTCATGCCCCTTGCTCCCCCCAATTTTACCTGAAAAACTACCATTTTCTAATGGTAAAATACTAAAATCAGTCAGCTGATGTGTCTGCTAACTGCAAGGTCATGTATTAAGCATTAATAAAAACAGTGTCTAAAAGAGCATTTAATGTTGGGAAAACCAAAAAGTAATGTGTCTTCTTTGCTCTTCTATAATAAATAAATTACTGTAATTGAGAAAGGAATAGAGGTGTGGGTGGGAAAGAAGGGAGTGTTGGGAAAATAATAGCCTGGTGGTATTCTAGGGAACTTAAATTAGCAACAGGCTGAAACTAATATACATTAATTCTTGCTATTAAATAATTTGAGAATTGTTTGATTTTCAAGTTCTGACTTGTGTAAGAGATTCAAAATAAACATTATTTGTAAAAAAGATGGTGAATATTATGTAATTGTGACTGTAACACTAGTACTGTCTCAAAAGGTATTTGTTAAGTGTCCTTCTTTGGATGTTAACTAATATACCTTTTAAGTGGTATTTGATTTATCATGATAAATTAGGTTCCTTATTGACTTCAGGATAGGATAAAGTCCCAAGTTTTTTAATGTTGTTTACAACAGTTCTTCTCAGACTTCAATGTGCCTGTGGGTCACCCGAGACCTTGTTAAAATGAAGCTTCAGATTCAGTTGGTTTAAATTGAGGCCTGAGATTCTGGGTATCTAATATGTTCCTCGGAGATGCAGACGGCTGCTTGATGGTCCTTGGACCACATTTTGAATATCAAGTCTACCAGTCATTCTATGGCTGGCTTCTTCTCTGCTGCCCTAACTTTATTACTGGTAGCTATGCCTTGTCCTTTATGGCACTGTGTCATGGACATGCTTATAGTATCCCCTACAGTAGCAGTTTGCCAAGTGTGGTCCAGGGATCCATGAGACTCTTTCAAAGGGTCTACAAGATCAAAATTGTTTTCATAATTATTGTAAGATGTTATTTCCCTTTGTCATGTTCATTCACTTGTGACTGTACAATGGAGTTTTCCAGAGGTTACAGACATGTGATGATGCCATCGCTCTGGCGACTGATAGAATGTGTACTTGTGTGTTGCTTGTTTTAAAAGTTTTTCAGTTTTATTTTATAATATGGTAAATATTGGTAGATTTAAACAAAAGCTCTTTGAGGTCCTTGGTACTTTTTAAGACACCACAACCTTTGAGAACCGCTGCCCTATGGTTTTTTTAGGCCATGGACACAAAGACTCACATCTAAAACTTTACCAGAGCTCTTTCCATAGCTTACGGTGGCTGTTCAGTTAGGGTGGGAGTTTCAGCCCCCCACGTGGACACTGCAGTGGGGTGGCCTCCTCACCTTTCTGGGCAGTGGTAAAAGGCCTCCTCTGACACCATGCAAGGGGGAATGGGAGTAAGTAGCATCCTGTTACCTCCTGTTGGGGGTGGACATCTAAGTTCTCCACCTGATGCCATCATCATGGCTCCCTACTTGGCCTACACAGCCTTCTCTGAAACTAGCTTCACCAGGGTGGAAGTCCAGGCTACCTACTTGGCCTTTGCTGGTGTTGGGGGGGAAGAGGAAGGGCCAACAGTTCTTTTAGTGATATTTGACTGGAGTAGAGTGATTATTGTCTAAAAGTTTCCTGTCTTGTTAGGCTCCCCTTTTCCTGCTCCTTTGTCTAGAGTGAGCAAGCTTTCATTAGGCTTTTTTTTGTTTTTGCGGTACGCGGGCCTCTCACCGCTGTGGACTCTCCCATAGCGGAGCACAGGCTCTGGATGCGCAGGCTCAGCGGCCATGGCTCACGGGCCCAGCCGCTCTGCGGCATGTGGGATCTTCCCGGACCGGGACACGAACCCGTGTCCTCTGCATCGGCAGGCGGACTCTCAACCACTGCACCACCAGGGAAGCCCTCATTAGGCATTTTTGTTTTTCCCCTGCACCCGTTGGTGTTTCCCCTGTTGCTGGCTTCTCCAAGTCTGGGATAGTTGACGCAAACAAAAACTCAGGGAACTACCACGATGTCATTCCTTGGGTCACGTGGTTCCTAGCCAATCTGCCTCCTTCAGAGTCGTCTTATGTTTATTTTATAGTATATATTTTTCAAGGATTTTAGTTTTACTAAGCAGGGAGAATAGGGAAAATTACATCTATTCCTTCTTCCTGAAAGTGGATGTCTGATTGCTTTTATTAACTTGCACTTTGAGATAAAGAATTAGAGACTAAACTCCAGCCCCACTGCATATCTCTTATATTTGGTTGTATAAAAATATATGAATAAACATTAAAATATTTTCATTAAAGAAAAACTAGGTTTGAAAAACGCAAATAACTACTTTTGGGAGAAAAAAGTTTAAATTTAATTAAATAGAATTGATGTGAAAGGAGTCATGACCACAGTTGAGGATTTTACAAAACAAGATAATTTTGTGTAGTAAATTTGAAGCTTTAAATTATCAGTGTTCTGGAAAATAAAATTATAGCAAACTTGTTCTAGGAAGATATAATGAACCTGTAATAACCAGTGTACAAAAAAGAAATTGAAATGATTTCATAAAATTAAAATAGTCTCCAATATCTAATAGCTTTAAGCTTAGTTCTTTCTCACTTTCAGAAAACATTTCAATGTCATGCCAGAGTGGTGATTTAAGAGCATTAAAAAGATGGGGGAGGGTGGGCTTCCCTGGTGGCGCAGTGGTTGAGAGTCTGCCTGCCGATGCAGGGGACACTGGTTCATGCCCCTGTCTGGGAGGATCCCGCATGCCGTGGAGCGGCTGGGCCCGTGAGCTGTGGCCGCTGAGCCTGCGCGTCCGGAGCTTGTGCTCCGCAATGGGAGAGGCCACAGCAGTGAGAGGCCCACATACCGCAAAAAGAAAAAAAAAAAAAAAAAAAGGGATGGGGAGGGCTTCCCTGGTGGCGCAGTGGTTAAGAGTTAAGAATCCGCTTGCCAATGCAGAGGACACGGATTTGAGCCCTGGTCCGGGAAGTTTCCACATGCCGTGGAGCAACTAAGCCCATGCGCCACAACTACTAAGCCTGTGCTCTAGAGCCCACAAGCCATAACTACTGAGCCCGCATGCCACAACTACTGAAGCCTGCATGCCTAGAGCACATGCTCCGCACAAGAGAAGCCACCACAATGAGAAGCCCACGCAGCGCAATGGAGAGTAGCCCTGTTCACCCACGCGCAGCAATGAAGACCCAACGCAGCCAAAAATAAATAAATAAAATAAATATATTAAAAAAAAAAACGATAGGGAAACTACCCAGTTCACTTAATGAAGCATGCATTGTCACAATAAAACCTGTCAAAGATAGTTCCCCAAAGCAGTTCCAACACAGTATGTATAGACATTTGATGTTTCTGCAAAATTGGTTCTGTCAGTGTAACTTAAGAAAGCAGTGGGTAAAAATTAAACACTGTACGAATGTCCGTCTCGCCTGCCCTCCTTCTCTCACATCTCTGCTCTAGGCTCCCTGTTCTCTGTCTACTACATGCCGTCTTTGTAACACCGCTCCACTAGCCCCCCAGCCTCCCCACACACACACACTTAAGCTTGGCTGTCTTGCCCTGCAGGTACATCAGCAAGTGGAGCTTTCCTCTCTTCTACTGAGAACTGACTTGAATCTTTCAATCCAAATGCATGAGAGAGAAAATCTCATTTAACCCACCGCTGCCATGTACCTGGTACAAACAGGGTTGCTATAGTATAGCACTAGGGGCACCTAAATGGGTTGAGAGTAGAGCTATTTTTCATATTCTTACATCTTAGAAATTTTTTATTACCTATGCTGTGGATTTTTCTTTCCAGTTATTCAGCAAACAGTTATTGGGTACCTATCATTTTAGATCTCTAAGTGAATTTTTAAGAGAAAAATGAAAGCAACATTTGGAGTAGTCAACCATTTAATTTCAATCAAAGACCATCAGCTTTGACTTGAGATGCAGCATTTATATGTTTAGAAAATCTTGATGATGTTCATTTTCTAGGTATAAATTTTATAGTATATCAGTAAAAAACAAAAACAAAAAAACAGACAATCAGCATGGGCTGATTCTTTGGAGAAGAGTTAAGGGACACTATTGATGCTAGGCAGCACTGCTCCAAATATGCTTCTTTGGGAAAATAATTAAAATTAGTTTTATGTGGTTCACCATTTATAAGTTATAAAAATTGGATGATTGCTCTGGAATCATTTCAGAGGCATTATGCCATCTCTATCAATAGATCCGCAGTTTCACAAATAAGATCTTTTACCTTTTGTGAGCTTAGGAGTTAAAACACTTAGGCCCATATGAGTAAAAACCTGGGTCATAAATCATTCTGAAGTAAAATCAACTAGTGTAGCAAATGCAGATTTTTTTTTTTTTTTTAACAAAAATTTATTATCTTATACTTCTGTAGGTTAGAAGTCTGACATGTCTGCCTGGGCGAAAATCAAGGGAGCAGTAGGACTGCATTCCTTTCTGGAGGTTCTTGACTTATCTGTGTCCTTGCCTTTCCAGCCTCTAGTGACCACCTTCATCTTTTGGCTCACGGCCCCCTCCCTCCATGCAGATGATAGTTCTAACTTTTTAAAGTAAATATGAATGGATATAGTACTAAAACTTAAGCTTTGTCTGTCTGATTTTGTTTAGTTTTTTAAGGTATATGGAACAATCTTATGGATGCTATACATGATTTTCTTCATTGTCCCTAATATTTGTTTAGACCTGATGGCCAAAAGAAAGGAAGGAAATTTCTTCTCTCCTGGAAATGCCAAAAGACCAAGACAAGAAGAGCTGGATGATTTTGATAAAGATGGTGACGAAGATGAATGTACAGTTTCTTTCACTAATGGTACCTCTGCTTTGGTGAGTGCAAAATTACAATATTATGTCTTTTGATTTGCATGTTTCTCATGTCTGGTTTATATGTCATATTCTTAATTCAGTATCAGGAGCTGGGTCTCTGCAGAGGAAAAGTAATATGAATTTTAAAAAGCTGAGATAAAATCATCTCACTAATTTTGAAGTTTATGTTAATGATTAGAAAAAATTAGTAGAGAAAACAACGAAACAAGGAGCTGGTTCTTTGGAAAGATCAATAAAATTGACAAACCTCTACTAAGATTGACAAAGGGGAGAAAAGAGAGAAGACACAAATTACTAATATCAGGAATGAAACAGAGGATATGACCACAGACTCTGCAAACATCAGAAGGATAATAAGGGAATACTGTTAACAACTCTACACACATAGATTCACAGCTTAGAAAGAGTGGACCAGTTCCTCGAAAAGCACAAACTACCACAATTCATTCAATATGAAATAGATCATAATCACTCTGTAACTATAAAGGAAATTTAATTCATCATTTAAAAACTCCCCAAAAAGATATCTTCAGTTCCAGTTGGTTTGATTGGAGAATTGTACCAAATGTTCAGGTTCAGGTTCAGGTTCGGGTTAGCATTCAGGAACAATTCTTAGACTTAACATCAAATGTACAAACCATTAAATGAAAAATTGATAAATTGGACCTCATCAAAATTAAAAACTTTTCTTCTGCAAAAGACCCTGTTATAAGGATGGAAAGTCAAGCCAGGAGAATATTTGCAAATCACATATCTAACAAAGTTCTAATATCTTGTTTGTATAAAGAACTCTCAAAATTCAGCAGTAAAAAGCAAATAATCCAATTTGAGAATGGGCAGAAGACATAAAGAGACATTTCACTGAAGAAGAGGATATACAGATGCAAATAAGCACATGGCATGATGTTCAGCATAATTTTTCATCAGGGAGATTCAAATTAAGACTACAATGAGATATCACTGCATACCCATCAGAATGGCTAAAATTTTTTGAAAAGTGACAACACCGGGCTTCCCTGGTGGCGCAGTGGTTGGGAGTCTGCCTGCCGATGCAGGGGACGCGGGTTCGTGCCCCGGTCCGGGAAGATCCCACATGCCACAGAGCGGCTGGGCCCGTGAGCCATGGCCGCTGAGCCTGCGCGTCCGGAGCCTGTGCTCCGCAACGGGAGAGGCCACAACAGTGAGAGGCCCGCATACTGCAAAAAAAAAAAAAAAAAAAGAAAAGTGACAACACCATATGCTGGTGAGGATGCAGAGACACTGGATCGTTCAGTGGTGGGAATGTAAAATGATACAGTCACTCTGGGAAATAGTTTGGCAGTTTCTCTAAGAAATTTCACATGCAACTATATCATATAAGCCAGCATCTGTCACAGAGAAAAGAAGATTTATCTTCACACAAAAATCTATACATGAATGTCCATAGCAGCTTTATTCGTAATAGTCCAAAACTGACAATCCAGATGTCACACAGTGAGTGAGTAGTTAGGCGTGCTGAGGTACATCTGTACCCTGAGATACTACTTAGCAAAAGAAAGCAGTGAAGTACTGATACAGGCAAAAATGGATAGTTATGCTGAGCAAAAAAAAAAGCCAATCTCAAAAGCTTACATTCTGTGTGATCTTGAAATGGCAGTGTTTCAGAAATGGAGAACAGATAATTGGGCCAGGTGTTAAGGAGGGGGTGGATTGGGTGGGATGTGGATGGGGCTCTAAAAGGACAACGTGAAGGATACTTGTGATGGAAATCTTCTGTATCGTCACTGTATCAATACGAATATGCTAGTTGTGGTATTGTACTGTAGTTTTCGAGGTGTCACCTTGGGCAGGAACTGGGTAAAGGATTCACAGGATCTCTCTGTATTATTTCTTACAACTGCATCTGAGTCTTCAGTTAGATCAAAATAAAACGTATTTTTAAAAAGTCTTCAACCACGATTTTCAGTATTCTACTCATACAAGGATGTAAATGTTTTCTGCTTTTTAATAAGCTGGTGTCTAGTAGAAGAGAGCCAGGGATTTTTAAAATAAATGACTAAAAAGGCTGGAGACGTTAAGTGTTCTTTAAAAACGTTTGGAAGGTTTGGTAAAATATGTTTGATTTATTTTCGTATTTTTAACTACGAAGTCTGACCACTCTGTGCCGAACTTTTGCTTGAAACATTGATAAACCTTCTCTAATTTAATTATGACATATATTCACAATATGAGAATTATAATTACATATCCTCCCCTCAGTGGGGGACATTTAGCAGTGTCTGAATATATTTTTGGTTGTCACAACTAGGGTGGGGGGAGAGTGCTACTGGCATCTGGTGGGTAGCAGCTAGGGATGCTGTTCAACATCTCACAATGCACAAGACAGCCTCTTTCCAACAAAAATGATCTGACTCAAATGTTGGTATTGTCCGTATTAAGAAACCTTGATACACTTATTAGATCCTATAAGGACTTTAGAATGAGTGGTTAATCATATAAGGTCTCCATTTAATAGCATTTACTCATTGACTAAAGTTAACATTTAAAATTATACTTTCTGGCCTTCCCTGGTGGCGTAGTGGTTGAGAGTCCGCCTGCCGTTGCAGGGGACACGGGTTCGTGCCCCAGTCCGGGAAGATCCCACATGCCGTGGAGCGGCTGGGCCCCTGAGCCATGGCCGCTGAGCCTGCACGTCCAGAGCCTGTGCTCTGCAATGGGAGAGGCCACAACAGTGAGAGGCCCGCATACCGCAAAAAAATAACCACTATACTTTCTGTAACATTTTTCATTGGTAGCACTGCTAATCTTTCTCTTCTAGCAAATGATTGGTTGATTGTAGTGAGTGAATTCGATTGTTTTCTCTCGTTTTTTTAATTAATAGACAGCAGCAGAAGTTGGAATCATTGAGAGTATTCAGCTCAGAAACTTCATGTGTCATTCGATGCTTGGACCCTTTAAATTTGGTTCTAATGTCAACTTTGTTGTTGGCAATAATGGAAGTAAGTGCTTTTGCCCTCCTTCTTATTTGACTTTGAACAGTACCTTGAGATCAGAATGCACTAACTTTTTAAAATAGGTGACTACTAGCGCTGATAAATCTAAGGTGTAGACCTCTGATTTGTGGTCATGAACTTTTTCAGTATTGCCTGCCAGTCTGCACTTTAAGAAATGAGTTAACTTTAGGCTCATTATGCAACAGGGATAAACATTTCCTGCTTATTCTTCTGAATCTGTGTACCTTGGAATTCATACCACAGAAGAGTAGGCAAGCTATCCTCATTGCAACTGAGGCAGGCCTGTGTCTTATATCTATTAAATGTTGTAAGAGCGTGAATAAAGTGCCTTGGGAATCCAAACTTGAAAGAAACTAATTCTTACGGTTGTGGCCAATGAAAGCTTTAAGAAGAGGTGGTATTTGTGGTGGTACTTGAATAAAAATGAAAAATTCTTTAGATCTTATTGGGGAAGAAGAAGCTGAGATGTTCCAGGCAAAGATTGCTCATCACCAAAGGTTGGGAGGGGTAGAAGCAGATGTATATGGAGAGAGGTGAACAACCTCATAGGGTTTTATCATATCATACATGGTAGGGAGGGGCAGAAGCATACACTGGAGAATCAGTTGTAGGTAATGTTGAGGATATTGACTGCCATGATAAATATTTGGGGATTTCGTTCACAAGTCAGTGGGGAAGCAGTTAAAGTTTTAGAGTATAGAGGTGACACGGTGAAGATTTGTGAAACAAACTGGCCACATTGTAGAGAGTAGATTAGAAGGGGGAAGACATAGGAGTTAGACCAGTTAGGTAGCTTTTGTAGTGGACCCCCGCCAGATGTGAGGTGTTGGCTGCTTGACTGAGCCAGTACAGAGGGAGAGGAGCTTGCCAGGGTCCACAGCTGGTGGCCGTGCTAGAACATGAAACTAGTACAGGTAGCTGCACAGTCTGTTTAGTTGTTGTTCTTTGTTTTCCCTACTCTATTCGGTCAAGAGGAAAGTATTTTCAGAAGGAGGGGATAGACAAAGGAACCAGAGCTACAGGGAGGTCAAACAGGACAAGAAGTAAAGGCAGACTGGTGGGTTGGTTCTGCGGTTAGATCTTCACTCCTGAAACAGCGAAGTTATTAATATAACTTCACAAGTGGTGGAGGCAGTGAATTTGGAAATGAAGAAAAAGGAGAGAGGTAGGATAGGGACTTGAAAGGCATTCCAGGAACTGAATTGGGCTAACCAGTGTGTACTTTGGTTGATTTGGAGTATATTGTGGAAGATGATGAGCTGATAAGAGTTGATTAATTTGGTTGATTGTGGAGTTGAGAAAATGGTTACCATGATTGTTAAAGATTTTGGAATTTTAGCTTGTGATATTTTATGTCTGTTAGGGTAAAAAGAAGTATACTCTTCAAAGAGCTAGCAAGTGAGTAATATTCAAATTAGGAATAATAATTGTCAAAATATTATGTAAAAACATTGTCTATATGACTGATAATTTTTTCATATTTAAGCTCATTCATTCAGTAAATATGTGAGTGCCTATTATGGGCTAATATTGGAGATAAAGCAAATGAATAAAAAACAACAGTCCTGTCCCTCTGGAGCTTGCATTCAAGGTTAAAAATAGTTTCTGGCTTCTGAGAATTTATGGAAAAAGTAAATTTTAATTAAATTAGGATGTAAGAAAAATTAGATGAGTTAAATGTATATGGGTAATTAGAAAGATAAATTCATTTAATAGGCTGATGGGCCAAGATGACACAATGAGAGTTTTAGGTTGGAAAGGTATCAACCATTTTTTCCATTGCCTTATTAGTGGCAAAGATTTGATTCCTGAAATGTACTGATTTTTTTCTAATAGCAACAACTAAATATTTCATGATATGTACAACTTTTTGTTTGTTTTTGGCACTGGAAGAAAATTATAATTGAAGTATAATGCTTTATTTCAGAAATTTTTTTACATCAAATTGTAGGAGTCAGACTTCTCTTTTCTCCCTCTAATGAATGTGATTTCTTCAACACCTGTTTCTTTAGGTGGGAAGAGTGCAGTACTCACAGCTCTTATAGTTGGTCTTGGTGGAAAAGCAGTTGCTACTAACCGAGGATCTTCTTTGAAAGGTTTTGTGAAAGACGGACAGAAGTAAGTGTTTGTTTTCTATGTGTATTTTTCAGTTCTTTAATAAGAAGCAGCTTCTTTAGAATCCCAATTCAGTAGACATGGTAGGAAATGAATTGGCTTCCCGGAACTGAAGCACCGATATCATATCTTTTCATTCCTTTCTCTTGCCCCCTGTTGCCAGCATCGCCCACTGTTGCCTGTTCACCTCTCCCGACAGAATGCTTGTGTCAGTTAGTGCCATGTGCCTGCCCACTGACACTCGTTTCTGTTACCTTTCTGGAAAAACGAGCAGTGATAAATCTGCATACTTCTGTTTACAGGAATATTTATAAATATTGGACTTTGCTGGCTCTTGACCCAAACCCAGCTTCAGCAAGTCCACGTCGCTATGATGTGGGCTAAGGCAGAGTTAGTGACCAGCCAAGGTGTCCCTAAACAGAATTGCTGCCTCCAGCTCTAAGAATTTCAAAAAAGTATTCCATCTGTCTCTTTATATCCTTTACTCAGGGGGTTCACCAGTGAGCTTGACTTGAGGCCCACAGTCTCGAGTCTCTTTGGGGTCCATCTTGACCCTTGGTGAATGGTCATATGACAACCCTCAGTGGCTTTACATTTGTATTTCTTTCTGTTATAGTTTGCCATCACGTAACTATATATTAATTGCTCAGTTTGCATCATCATAGACTCGTGACCTTTTGCCCATTAGGAAACTCTCTTCAGGCTGATCTCCTTGTTCTTTTTAATTCTGCCTCAGAAACCTCTGAGGGATCCTCGTGTCTCCTAACAACTGCACGTCCCAGGCTCCATCATACCAGCTCCCAGAGTCAGGCCGCTCCCGCTGCCCATTCATTCCTCTTTCACACGCCCAGTGCCCAGAACTTCTGGAACTTTGATAATTAACAGTGATACCTTTTTTTTTTTTTTTCCTTCATGTAACAGACTTTCCTCCTGCTCAGTGTTGTATCCACTTAACTTCCCCCATTTTCCATTTTATTTCTAAAAAATAGAACGCGGACGGGATGTGAGTCAGGATTGCAGGTTTTTTACGTATCTCTCAGAAACCTTGGGAATCTTAACCCTAAGCCAGCGTTCCAAGTTGACTCAGGAGGAGGGAAGAAAAGATACAGAAAAAATCATTTTCTGTGCTGTATGGCCTTGAAAAAGAACCGTTTAGTAACAATTCTCCAGCTTATTTTCTGTCTCTCCTTATCTTACTTGGGCGCCAGTCCAGCAAGGTCTTCTCTTCCACAGTCTCCAAACAAAATTATGGCTGAAGTCAAAAATTAGTTATTTTAACACTTTTAAGGCACTGGTCTCAACTCTGCTTCAGTTCATTATACTGAACTCTACATTTCTTAGTTGTCCAAATAGTTACCTAGTCTGCCTAGCTAGATAACACATTGATCTTTCAAATAGAAGCCTCAGGAAGAAATTTTTTTTTTCTGCACCATTAAGGGCTTTATGTCTCAATTAAAGATTTTAAATGTTTTTTCCATATGGGAAGTAGCTGGATGAAAGCAGAAACTTCTTTCTGAGATGTGTCCTTGGAATACCATTAAAAAAAGAAAGAAAAATAAAGGCTAGCTTACACAAATCACCAACTTTGAAGGACACAGCTGCCTGTAGATAGGAACATTAAGATATTTTAAACAGAGTTAATAACAGTTAAAAGCTTTAACCTGAGCTCAGCCTCCTTTTTACTGACCTCGTCTAAAAAAATAGCTAAAATGAGCTTTTCCAAACCCATTACTATTCCTCTTGTCCTCCCCTTCCTCATTTAAAACATTTGGTATCTGTAAAATTTCTCTTCTTTTATAGTCTCTGATTCTGTCATCACTTTTTTACAGAATCAGCTCATCGAGCTTTTCGCTTCTATTCTGCATCTAAAATCTATGAGGCTCTCCCGTTCTTCCTGAGGAACGTCTTTCCGTCTGGCAGAGGTTTGAGGTGGTCCTCAGGACTCTGTCCCTCCTGCACATCTGAACATTACACTCTCCATCTGTGACGCCTGGGCTCCGGGCTACCTTTGTAGAGGGTTTCAACTGCTCCATTAGAGACGCTTGCCAATATGGTTAGGAGAAACCAGACGACTGTGCCTGGAGGCTCTTTACTTGGCGCTCCAGCCTCTGATTATCCACTGAGGCTTTGCAATGAGTGGTACAGGGACAGTGATGGAATTCTCCAGTGACCAAGGTCTCAGACCCCTAGCTGTTCAGGTTCTTCAACAGGTTCATTTACTGTTCCCTCCTCGGCCTTCCTAATCCTATCGTGGCGGCACTGGGCTCTTTGCCGCAGGCCTGTTTCTGACATCAGCTGTGGCATTGGGAGTGGGTTATGGGGGGACAAAAGCTCCTGCTGTACGTTCCTGACTTATTAGTCAAGGTTACAGAACTTACTGCAGATGAGCTGGCCACGCAGAGAAGGAACAGATGCCTCCTATTTGTACATGACTTTTTCCCTGTTCCTTGTTCCTCGTGCCCATCAGTGCCTGATGCTACCAGTCATCTCTGTGCAGATAGGTTCTCCCGGAGCTAAGAAAGAAGCCACACCCTTACGGTGGCGCCTCTTGTGTGTGTGGTCGTTCTGCAGGAACTCTCGGTGACAGTCTCTCTTCTCACTAAAGGGTCTCTTTATTTACAGACACTGGGCTCTATGGCTGTTGACCCCAATTCAGCAGCAGTCACATTAGTAGGTGGGGAGACAGCAGTTAGTCTCAGCTCAGTTAGCCCTGTCTCCTTGTACAGGTTTTTTGAGCAGCTGTTGGGAGGGTTTTTTTCGTAAGCTTTAATTGTTTTGAATAACTTGCCTTTCTTATATTTACTAGATTCATATGACGGTAGGATACCAGTGCCTCCAAAGCTCTCACAATACTAGAGATAGCTTCCAAATGCAAGGAGTGGCTGGGAAGGAAATAACAAAGTAGATGTTTGCTAATCAAGGGAGATGTCACTTTCATTTTAAAATGTTTTCATGAGGTGCATTCATTTAATACTAGGTAATCATACTAGTTAGTGCAATAAATATTGTTTGCTCCACGTTGTAGGCCAGCTGCCCTTCCCCTATCATATACTTTAGTTAATAGTTTTCAACCTTGGCTGTTCATTAGAATCAACCCAGAAAGCTTTCAAAAATCTCATTGATTACAACTTTTCAGGAGCATGTCTGTCTTAATTAGGTATTTCTGTTTAAAAACACCCCCCTACCCCCGCAAACCATTCAGGGTAGCTTTAGAAGAGGAGATTTATCATAAAGATGCAGGGATATATATATATCTTGGAAACTTAAGTGAGGCAGTGTAATTGGATCTCATGAGTGACCAGAACTGAGAGACTCAGAACCAAAGATCTTCGGTCTCTAGGTCTTTCTTTTCTGTGTCTCTGGCTTTCTTTGTGTCTTTGTCTCCAGGCCTCTGTCTCCCTTCCTTCCTTAGCCGGGGCTCTGCTGCAGCACCACCTCCCTGCCGCTCCTCAGTAGCTGCACTTCTGTGCTGTGCCCTCCTCCCTCCCTCTCCCGTGACAGGCATGCAGGTGTGTGAATGTGTTTCCCTCTCACTGCCTCTGGAGCGTGTGTGCTCTTTCTTATTCTTCAGGTCTTTGGTGCTCTGTGTCTTCGTGGGCAGGCGTTTATGTCTTACTGTCTTGGTGTGTGGGGCTGCGCATGGAAGGAAGTACTCTCGAGTTCTCTGTGTCTCTGATTCACAGCCAGTATCTGTGATTATGTGTCTCTGCCAGTCTGTCCAGGTGGTTTCCCAAGAGCTTATCTGCTCTGTGTTTCTGCTTCTCTCTGTCATCTCTGCAGGCTTTATACTTGTTCATCAGAATATAATGCCCCAAATTGGTTTCTCTAGTCCCAGAGGCCTCAGAACTTTGTATCTCCAAGGAATCACCACCTTTCCACTTGATGTGTCTTGATTCGAGTTTGTTTTAAAAACTTGTGGTTTTGAAATAATTTTAGATTTACATAAGTATCGCAAAGATAGTACAGTTTCCTTACAGCCTTTACCCAGTTTCCCTGAATGTTGACATCTTAAACAACTGAGGCACTTTTATCAGAGCTACGCGGTTAACACCAGTACAATATTATTCACTAAAGTACAGACCTTACTTGGATTTTACTAGTTTTTCTTAATTTGAATTTTTAAAGAAGGGAATGTGGCGCAGTTAGCGTTCACTTTCTATATTTAGCCCAATCTGTGGAGGGAGGGATGGGGGCTGATAACGGCTGCTAAGCCATCTTTCTATGAGGGCACTTGCACAGAAGTACGGGGGCGCAAGAGCTGAGCACGCTTCAGGGTGTCTACCAAGTGTAAGTTTACAGTGAAATTCATCTTGAGTATTTTTACCTACATTTCCTGCAAATAGGAACAATTTGGTGGTATGATTACTCCAAATTGATGAAAACAAGTTTATTCTGTTAAATATATCATTTAATTACCAATTAAAGCAATTTTGCATTAAAGGACTTTAGCATTTTTGGCAGATATTTATATTAACCAGAGGAAGTATTATCTGCTTTTATGTTTAAGGAAATTATAAGTATGTATTTATTAATGCCCTTCATTAATTTTTAAAAAATTTTTCTACAAAGTCTTATTTGAACAGAAGTTAGAGTAGAAAAATAAAGATGAATTCTTCCCCCCCATAATATGTTAAAATATACATGGCTGTAAATGCTTCAGATGTCTTTAAAACTTTAAAAATGTTTATTTTGTAATACCAATAAAACTTTTAAGAAGCTTTGAGATTTAGTTTACATCTCTTGATATCAAATACTTAAGCATTTTTTTTTATTGCCAAGTAATAGAAGAATTCAAGTTGTTTCCCTTGATTCTGATTTTCTTAGAAAATATATAACTTCACTTTAATTCTTACTGCATCTTTCTTAGAGGCCTGCTGTCAGGATGATGCTTTATTATATAATTTAGCATAGGCAGGCAGTGTAATATTGATTATACATAGCGGTTGGGAAAATGTGTAACTTATCCACATGATGTGAAACAACCAAAACTTAAATGGATTTTGTGCAAATGTATTTCTGTTATGGATAAAATAGTCAATTATTTTTTATAAAGTTTCTCTTCTTCTCAACTTTGCTCCTTGGTATCTTTAACATTATTCTGTAGTAGCCTGTCAGCCATCAACTGCTGGTATAAAGCTGCTTTTCAAATGAATTAGCCAAATTTCTTGGAGGTTTTTAAAATTATGGTAACCTAGTGTTATAATTGCCCTGTACCTTCATGTGACTTAGCTTAACCTTATTGCTTTAGCTCAGCAGATATCTCAATAACATTAAGGAACAGAGGGGATGATGCCTATAGAGCCAATGTGTACGGTGACTCTATAATTGTGCAACAGCACATCAGCATGGATGGAAGTCGATCTTATAAACTGAAAAGTGAAACAGGTTTGCTATGAATTTCTCTTTATTTCATATAAAGTATTAGTAAACATCCAGTTAAAAAGAGTTAAGTGATTGTGCTGGTGTCATTAAGAGGACACTTCTCATCTCTTGAAACTGCTTTCTTGCAAGAGGACTGGTTGGTTGCATGTATGTGTACACACACGTGTATATCCGTACATAGTTGTTTTACCACAGGGCATTCTGCAGCAAAAGCATGATTAGCAGAATTTGGGTCTGTTTGAAGCAGGCTGTGATAAGTCATTTTGATCTCACTTGTAGACTTCTTTTCACCCCCATAGTTTCTGTCACATGTGGAAGGAGAAAGTTAGCCAAAAGTAGAAAAAGACATAACGGAAGAGGAGGTGGGTGTGGAGAGTTACTAAAGAGACAGATGAGAAGGAAAAGGAAATGTTTAGCTATAGGAAGAAGAGAAGTACCTGCCACTGCATTTGTGTGCTTCTGCCTCCTGCGTACTTGTGTCATAACAAGTGTGTCACCCCAGTTCATTCAGATGTGTGTATGTGCAATGGTACCTTTCTTGCTGACATCAGGAAAACTAGTTAACATTTATGTTTATAAATAATTGCTCATTTTTAAAAACGTATTATTGCCCTAGAAACAGTCTGGTCATTTTGTGTTTCTCATAACTAGGCGCCTTGGTTTCCACTAGGAAAGAAGAACTGATTGGAATTCTTGATCATTTTAACATACAGGTAATTGCTAAATTTGTGTTTCAGATTAATAAATACAATTGGTTACTTTTTTATGCGGTTTCATTTGTGGTGTGGAAAGAATTTAAATGGCCTCATATAAGTAAATTGACCACAGGACAAATATATTTAACTATGGTTAGTGAAGTTCCTTAAGGCTTCCTAATTCAACAGGAACTTTCAATATATAATATAACATCTTTAATTTGACAGAACACACAAGAATATCTTGTCTATACTAGTATGTGCCAAAAGTTATGTTAATCAAATTTATGTTATAAAGTTTCTTTGCTTTCTGCTGTCCAAGTCAGAATAGCATCATAGTTTCCTAAACTCAGTTGCTAAATTTTTGTAGAAAGGAAGTTTATTCTAGCCATATAAAGAAAGCATTTCTTTATGTATTTTGGAGTTATTTCATCATACCTATAGGAGACAAGACTTGATTCCATTCTGCTAAGATACTTTGACTGAATAATTGGAAATGGGGCTCATATAGTCCTATAACATTAGCACTGGAGTTGTCTTTGGAGGTCATCTAATCTGGACCCTTTATTTTGTAGGTGAGAAACTGGGAGCCAGCAAAAGTAAACTTGCACTTACAGTTGTCTAGGTGTGGGTACTGGTTGAGCCTGCCTTGGGATCCAGACATCCCTGTTCCATTCTAATGCTCTACCCATTGTATCACCCTGCCTTATTCCAGGATTAAGAACACCAAGAGTAGTCACCAAGGAAAAAGAATAATTATGATTATGGGTCTCTTTCCCAGTTTGGTTTAGAACAGGTTGTCCAGAAAAACTTTCTGTAATGGTACAAATATTCTGTATTATGGTGTCCAATGGGGTGGCCACTAGCCACTTGAGCACCTGAAATGTGTGACTGAGAAATCAAATGTTTTATTGTATTTTACGTAAGTGTCAAATGCTGCATGTGGCTAGTAGCTTGCATATTGGGCAGCACAGGTTCAGAAAAATAATTAGTAAAATCTGGAGAAAAGCAGATACAGCAAATAAATTTGAGACTAGAACACAGGTCAATTTGTTAAGCAAAATCAGGAAAACCAAAAGTTACAGTGTATGGATTCACAGGTGTTGGGAAAGTCTCGAAGGGCATCCAGTGTAGTATCACACTGCATGCTTACCCTGTACGCAGTCTCCACCAGATGTTCCTTCAGCGGGTACTTGAGTGGGTAGTAGTGGGGAAATGACGTCTGCCTGAGGCTGCTGATTCCGTCTGTAGGTGGCTGTGTTTATTAGAAAGTTGTTGTTAATGGGAAAAGTTGAATAAAGTCAGTTTCTCTAAGCTCCCACTTCCTTGGGGAATATAAAATATGTTTCCTTTCTTTTGAAATATTTGAAGATTGTTATCATAACTCCATTAGTCCTCTTCTTGTACAATTCAGTTAACTAAAGGTTCAAGTTCATTGATCAAAATATGAAAGGTCTAGAGCTACACTTACTGAGTAACCACTAACCACGTATGATGGGTATTGAGCCCTCAGAATGTGGGTAGTCCAGATGGAGGTGTGCTCTAGTATGAAGTGCACACTGGAGGTTGAAGACTTAATGCAAAGGAGTAACTCAGTTTTCATACTAATTACATGTTAAAGTGATAATATTTTATATATATTAGATTAAAAATATAATACTAAAATTAATTTCACCTGTCTCTTTCTATCTTTTTAATGTAGCTACTAGAAAACTTAATTATATGTGTGGTTTGCATTACATTTCCATTGGACAGTGCTGGCCTAGAATTACCAGGAGGAAGGAGAGTGTTTAATGTCTTTAAGTACCTGATTATATTTGTCCCCTGTGCCTCTTCTTACTTTTTCTCTGAAGTTTACTTGTGTGTGCTTGCCTTTTGCTTACTCCAGGGTCTTGATGGGTAAAGATGCCAGATTTTTAAATAATCTCTGGAGTAGTATAGAAACGAGGAGCCCCATTTCAGAGGCTGTAGAAAAAAGAATATGAACTTTGGTGAAGCTGTTAATCCACAGCTGGTGATAAAATGTCTGTCATTAAAGCTAGTGCATTAGGTCTTAGTTTTAAGAAGTCAGATACTGTGTGCAATTAAGATACCACACAGACCTTGTTAAAAAAAATACGTGGCAATCAGCTTCTGGTCTGAGAAAAAGGTGATATGTAGAGGTGTCTTTATAACTGCATAAATGTTTTTTATCATCTTAGAAGATAAGACCCAAAATCCTGCTTAACAGAAAGGTTTTCACCAGTGGTATACTAAATAAAGTACAATCAGTATTGTACAGATGGTAAATGAAGGAGTTAAGCACTTTTTCCTTTATAGTGGTCCTTCCTGTTCTATACCTTATAAACAAGATTATTTTCTAACATATAAATTACTTTGTTATTAACACCAAAGATATAAATGAGAAATGAACTTGAATCTTTTTGAAACAAGTTGAATTAAAAAAAATTTTTTTTTCAACTCCACTTTGAACTGTTATTATATTGTTATTTTAACTGTACTTTAATTTGTTAGCCAGAGGTAGTTTAATTCAAGTAATGGCTTATTTAAAATGACTTCTCCTTCAAAAGATAGAAATGATCCCAGTGTTTCCATTTGTTTTACGGTATCCTCATGAAGAAATGACAGGATATAGGAACTCTGAAGAACTGCTGTACAAAAAATAAGCAATACTCGTCATTATAGTTCTGATTAGAAGTGACTGAGTTGGACTTCTTGTGTTTAGTTGGAGGAAATAACTAATTTGCCTGCGGCTACATAGGAGGTTCAGACAGAGCCAACTAAGAACCCAAGTCAGCTGACTCTCATGCTAGAGCTCTTCCAGCTCTGCGGTCTGATGATTAACCAGTAGCATAGGAGTGGTACTCTACAAAACCAGTGAAAGGAATGAAAACGTGCTAAAAAAACACACTTCTTTAGAAAGTTCTTGTGCTTGTGCCCTCATGTAATGGCAGAATATTTAATTTTGGCTGTAGTACTGATATTTATTTTAATATAATGAAATTTTGAAATATTTTCTCTCAGGTCACTTGTAATGGATATTTTAGTTCATTTCTCTTAAGGAATTAAAATGAAATATTTAAAGATAATCATTTCTTTGTTTGTTTGTTTCAGGTAGATAATCCAGTTTCTGTCTTAACGCAAGAGATGAGCAAGCAGTTCTTGCAGTCTAAAAATGAGGGAGACAAATACAAAGTAAGATGCACCAAAGTAAACATAAACCTAACCAAAAAGAATACATTTATAGATTAGGCATCTATACTGAACATTAATCTTGGTCACATAGTAAATATCGAGGATTTTTTTAAGTCACTATTTAGAGTAATATTGTAGGACTAATTTAGGAACTTGTTAAGTAAGATGGAAGTATAATTTTCTTGGTAAAACCTTGCTTTAACTTCTTTGCTTTTAATTCTGAAAGAGAATGAATTCCAAAATTTATCTTTATGGAAATACAAGGGAATGATTGCCCAAACATACATAATCACTTTTAAACGTTAGATTATTTTAATCTTTTTAAAAAATTAATTTATATATTTATTTTTGGCTGCGTTGGGTCTTTGTTGCTGCACGCGGGCTTTCTCTAGTTGCAGCTAGTGAGGGGTTACTCTTTTAGTTGTGGCGAGTGAGGGGCTACTCTTTGTTGTGGTGCGTGGGCTTCTCATTGCGGTGGCTTCTCTTGTTGCAGAGCACGGGCTCTAGGTGCATGAGCTTCAGTATTTCTGGCACGCGGGCTCAGTAGTTGTGGCTCGCGGGCTCTAGAGCACAGGCTCAGTACTTGTGGCGTGCGGGCGTAGTTGCTCCGCGGCATGTGGGATCTTCCCGGACCAGGGCTCGAACCCGTGTTCCCTGCATTGGCAGGCGTATTCTTAACCACTGCGCCACCAGGGAAGCCCCTATTTAAAACTTTTAAAAAAGCCAACAAAGTATATGACTACTACTACAGCTTACAGTGTGACTTTTGAATGGGTTTTGGTATTCCCTATGCTAAAAAATTATGATGCATTAAGATCAAGGATACTGGGACATCCCTGGTGGCACAGTGGTTAAGAATCCACCTGCCAATGCAGGGGATATGGGTTCGAACCCTGGTCCAGGAGGATCCCACGTGGCGCGGAGCAACTAAGCCTGCGCACCACAACTACTGAGCCCGCATGCCAGAACCACTGAAGTCCGTGTGCCTAGAGCCCGTGCTCTGCAACAAGAGAAGCCATCATAATGAGAAACCTGCACACTGCAATGAAGAGTAGCTCCTGCTCTCCACAATTAGAGAAAGTCCGCGTGCAGCAACGGAGACCCAATGTATTTATTTACTTGCTTAAGTATGTTTTTAATGTCTTTTTACATAATTGGTCTAAAAGTTTTTAGAGAACAAATTCTTCTTTTTTTCATAGTCCCGTGGAAGTTTACCAACTCCTAATTGTGTTTTTCTTGTTGTTGATATAGTTCTTTATGAAAGCAACCCAACTGGAACAAATGAAGGAGGATTATTCATACATCATGGAAACCAAAGAAAGAACAAAGGAGCAGATAAATCAAGGAGAAGAGGTTTGTAAACACTTAATGCAGTTATTTTAGAGATCAGTCAAATTCCTATAGTACTTATCAGGTAAATGGTATTGTAAAATTACATACCTACATATCTATATATGTATATCTATATAAAACTAGTAACATTTTTATAGTACTCTGTCAACCATAACAAGTGTGATTTTGTACATTCAGGGTATTTATTAGCCTTTACTTTTTTGTTTTATAATAATGGGTATGTCCATGTCTTAATTCTTCTATGAGGCTATAAAGTAGAGGACAGGGTAGTATCTAACATACTTATCCCTTAGTTCCACAATAAGATATCACTGATTCCCACTCGGAAGTAGTTTAAAAACTATATTTCTTTTGATGGGAAAATAAGCACAAGCCTCAAGTTGGTATTAAACATAATATGCATTTATCATTATATACAATAGATAACTCTTTCATTACACTGGTAGAATGTTAGCATTCTTTAAGCACTGATAGCTTGGTAGCAGCTGTCCCATCAGTGTTCACCAGCTTGGCAGCCATGCGAATGTGCTTGAATTTGAAATCACTCGAGCCAATGTGACTTTCTTACTTAGGTTTGTTTTTACATCTGCTGTAGTTTGTTCTTGTACTTTCTTCTTCTGATTCTTGAAGAGCAAACCTTTGTTTGATAATCAGAGATCTCAGAGTTATAAGGCTTTATGTTTCAGCTGTTCATCCAGTACATTAAGTCCCACCAATTTTTGTATGATTCTGTATCTTTTTCTTTTGTCCCTTAATCAGTTTTATACAGTCAGTTGCTTTCAGCAACTTTTTAGCATGTTCTTTTGAGATAGAATTGTATTAATGATTGACCCAAGTCAACTTTATTAGATGTTACACTGACCTTTTTACTTCAAGTTTTTGAGGCATACATATTTAAAACTGGGTTTATAGTTACATGGTTCATTAAGTGAAAACTGAAAAAGCAAAGATGAGTATATTTATTTTTATTCCCCACATTATTTCTTCAAACCTGGGGTATGTGATAATGTGCAAGGATGTACTATAAACCACAGAATTGATAATGGAGTATCAGTGTTATTGGAATGTCAGTGTTATTATTGGGGAAAGGAAATATTGTATATTCAAGCAAATGTACATAGTATATATTAACATCTATTATTTTAAAAACAATAAATCAGGACTTTGAAGAAATTTGTTTGCTTCAGACAGCTTGGTGTTTAAATACCCACTTTCTTCATGGTATACTTTGTCATAAGCGATTGAAGATACTTTGTTTGTGAAGTTTAAGAAGCACATCCCTATATCATGTATCAGAGTTGCTTATGCATAATATGCACTTAATATGAAATTTCTTCCTAATTAATTAAATGCACTACATTCTCAAAATAAGCTCTGGATTTGAATAGTTTAATCTTTAAGAAGTAGAATGTGACCTAACACAACATTGTAAATCAACAATACTTCAATAAAAATTTAAAAAACAAACCAAAAAAACCCCAAGCCAACAAAAAAGGATACAGTGGGAGATACAAATGAAAAAGTCAAAAAACAGAAATAGAATGTGAAGATTAGAAACTGGAAGTCATTCAGCCATCAAATATTAAGTTCCTACCATGTGCCTGCTAGCATTGGGCTTTGGTCATGACCATATAATGGCAAATACATACCAGGATTCTTGGGGTCGTACACCTAACTATTCAGCAGAAAGCAGATGGTAGATAATTGACTATGGTGAGCACTACTAAAGGAGTTCAAGATTAGTTTGTGCAAAAGCACTTAATAGGATACTGGCAACACGGGTTAGGGACAAGGCAGGGGCAGTGGGAGAGGTATAGCCGTTAAGTAAGTAATGTCTAAGGTAAGAACTGAAGGGTGAATAATACCAGGCAAAGGATGGTGAGAGTGAGGAAGTGTGTTCCACATGGATGGAGTCTTGGGCAAGAGAGCATGTGGTGGTTTTAAACAGCTGAAAGAATTCTACATTGTCTAAAGTAGAGAACACAAGCATGAGAGTTAAGAGGCCAGATTGTGGAAGACTTTGTAGAACTTAAGGACAGTACAACACATGGAAGTGGATGGCTTGATTAAATGTATATTTTTAGTAGATCACTCTGCTGCAGAAGAGAGTGAACTGCTGTAAGGAAGGAAACAGATCAGTAAGGAAGGTATTACCGTTGTTCAAACAGATGATGATGATGTAAGTTAGGGTAGTGGCAGTGGTAGTGTAGAGAAGAGCTTTGAAATGGTTTGGGCCAGTGCTCTGTGGACATGTAGGGTGGTGGTGAAAACAGAAGCCAGATTTGTGGGGCTGAAAACCAGAGAGAGAATTGAAGAGCTAGAGATAATTTTCGTGAAACTTGGGTGGAAAGGGAAGACGGCTTTTAGAGGAAGAGGTGGTATCCAGGGGTGGATATTGGTGGTTTTGTTTGTAAATTGGAAAGATAAGTAAGTAAAGTTTTAAATGTGATCATGGAAAGGAGTCAGTGAGGAGGATTAAGTGGAAAAAAGATGAAAAAGATGGGATGAAAAATCAACTAATTTAGACCTCTTGAGAAGGCAGAAGGGGGGTGAGTAGGATGTAAGTAAGAGATAGGCACTGGACTTAAGTATAATGAAGCCACCTCTTCCGTTTTAGCAGGAGGAAAAGACTGCTTTAGGTTTACATATAAGGTTGTTGAACACTGGAGACGGTTTCTTTCTGATAGCTTCTGAATTCTGTGAAATAGGCATCAGGGAGAATGAGTAAGGGATTAGGGTGGCAGTTATATGAGGTTTGAAGAGAGTGATGATGGATTGAAATAATCCTGAAGAATGGGAAAGTGACTTGGATAGGGAAACACACTAAGATCCATAGTGAAGACCCTAGTTGAACATGGAAACCATGAATGAAGAGGAGAGGCTGTCAACCCAGGTGTGCAGCTTTAGAAGCTGTTCATACGTCACTAGAGTTGGCTTTTGCTTTATTGATTAATTATTAAGAGAAAACTTGGATAAGAAAAAAATGTAACATTTGATTTTTAGAAATAAATTCCTTTTGAGCCTTCCATTATCATTGGAATGGATCCTGGGTATACTTCACCCAGGAGAACAGTCCAGTCTGTCTATCAGGTAGGGAATTGATAGAAACTTGAGTTTTGTCTATACTTGTGTGGTCTTGAAACTTTTATTCCTTTGCTCTTCTTCATTTGAAGAGTATCTGGTCATTTTTATAGTGCAGAAATTAACAAAGTGATTGTACTTAATAAAAGTATACCAAAGAACCAAAAATATTTTCTATTTTTGTTTTAATTAAAGAAGTCATTTCCTAGCACATCTTTTTCAGTATTTGTTTAGGCAGTATTCAAAAGAAATACATTTGCGGAAAGTCTTGTTTCTTCAATGTTGTTAAGAAATATATTCTTTTTTCTTTTTTTAAGCGACTTACTGAACTAAAGCGCCAGTGTTTGGAGAAAGAAGAACGTTTTCAGAGTATTGCTGGCTTAAGTACAATGAAGACCAATCTGGAATACTTGAAACATGAAATGGCTTGGGCAGTGGTAATTTTCACTTAATTACCTATTCACACATATTTGTAATATACAGAATATACTTGGTTGTGGTTAGTCTTATATGTGACTTGCTATATAATTTCTTTTTAGGTCAATGAAATTGAAAAACAACTGAATGCTATCAGAGACAACATCAAAATTGGAGAAGATCGTGCTGCTAGACTTGAGAGGAAAACGGAAGAACAGCAGGTAATTATATTTTTTTTATACAGAGGTAGAAGTTGGTTGAGGGGTAAGTAAAGGGAGCAATTTTCTGTTGAGGGTTTCCACATGGACCTTTGTAGCACAGAGCAGCCCTGCTCTTTGTATTTACCTTGCCATTCTCTTGTTAACAGCTTTATTGAGATATGATTCATATACCATACAATCCACCCATTTAAAATTTACAGTTCATTGTTTCTTTTGTATATTCACAGGGTTGTACAGCCACCACTGTGGAATTTCTCTGCCGTCGTGCTGGCAGTAGATCTCCTAGCCTTTTCTTTCTTTATAGGAGCCCCAGTGTACTCAGTGTGACTGACTTACATCTTAGTATTTTGTTCTCCTTAGCTTACGAGCTTCTGACTCCCAGGCTTAGTTGTAGTACAGGGTGTAATCTTTCCCACCTTACTTCTTCCTGTCTACCCCTAAGATAAGCAGGCCAGTCTTTTTCCTTTTAAGGGTTATAACATTAATCCGTGAAAGGTAATAGATGAATGTGTAAAAGTAACAGAAATGGTGAAGACAGTACATTTACTTAGTGATCTCTGGGCTGAATTTCTTACATTCCCTCTTCAGGTAGTAAATGGAAATTCAACCCCACCCACCTCTCTCACCTTAGATTTTCATTTCTGAGAGAATATTCTGAAATTTTCATTCAATTCTTCTCAGCTTCATTTCTTAGCTTGTCATAGGGGAAGACCTTGTTGCTTTCCTCTTTAGATATTCCCCAGTCTAAAAGTGAAATCCAGTCTTAGTAATAAACACTCATTTTTTTTTTCAAGTGGGGAAAGGAAAATCTTGAGGTTGGATGATACTTAGTTCTGTGGCTGTTTGCTCTACTTAAGTATTTGGCCATGCTATGTAGTAAATGGTAAATTTCTGGAGGGTTTGGACTATCTTATATTTATATCCTTCCCACCATGTCTTACATAAAACCTTTCACATAGTATATGCTTGTTTATTGATTATAGAATAACTATTGAAGGGAAGGTTTCTGAAGAAACAGTGTCTAAAGCAGACTTCAAACTTGTATTAACCTAATTTAAACTGAAGATAGATGAATTATATTTAGTTTGTAAAGCACCTAGACCAACTTCAATTTTTATAAAAAACATAGAGATTATACTACTGATGTCTTAATAACAGAACTACACTACCATTCTATATAATGTTTCCTAAATAGACTACATATTGACAATTCCCTAATCTGTATCTCCTAATCAAACTTTTATCCTGAGCACTTCGTTCAAATATTTGTCTTCCCATCTTTACCTACATGTTCCAGACACTTCAAACTTAGCATTTCTACTGGAATAGCTGTGACAGGGACTTTATAGCCCACAAAGCCTGAAGTATACACTATCTGGCTCTTTCTAGAAAAAATTTGCTGATCTCTGAACTAAGTAGTTCTCATATTTTTCCCTTCTAATCTATTCCTGTTTTCAGTGTGACATTTTGGTCCCTAATTATTTTTGTCCCAGAACATTACATTAACTTCTTACTGACATCATTTCCTTTAATTTTTCCCTTTACCTTGCCTTCCATGTGCTTCCAAAGTGGTTGTACGTATAGATTTACATATAGTTCCATTATAGATTTACATATAGTTTGGTATCTTGTTTCCCTGTTGTCTAGAGGTTTAAGTTGTAAGCTGATCATGGAATTCAAAGTCCTTCTACCCCTTCATCTCATCTGCCACCACTACCCTCTCAGTTCAAGCTCCAGAAATAATTTTAATTCCTAAAATGGTTTTAATGCCTTTCCACATGCTTTTCCAACTCCCTGTAACACTTTTCCCCAGCTTTTTTCCTGGTACATTTTGAGTAATCTTCCAAGTTTCAGCTCAAATGCTTCTTTGAAGGCATCCCTAACTTTTTCTGACAGACCTATAAATTCTTCCTCGTGCTTTCACAATTACAAATATACATACCCTACTTAAGCATTATTGCATCCAAACTGCATGATCTATTTGTATGTTTGTTTCTCTGCTAAACTGTGTCTGTCTCCCTTTAATTGTGTTACTTGAAGACGGTTGTTACTATATCTTTGTATCCCCAGAAGATAGCACATTTATTGGAAAGCTAAATGTGGAATTAAAATATATTTTAGCATTTCAAATTATTAGAGAAATGCAAATCAAAACTACAATGAGGTATCACCTCACACCAGTCAGAATGGCCATCATCAAAAAGTCTACAAATAATAGATGCTGGAGAAGGTGTGGAGAAAAGGGAACCCTCCTGCACTGTTGGTGGGAATGTAAATTGGTGCAGCCACTATGGAGAACAGTATGGAGGTTCCTTAAAAAACTAAAAATAGAGTTACCATACGACCCAGCAATCCCACTCCTAGGCATATATCAAAAAAAGATGAAAACTTTAATTAAAAAAGATACATGCACCTCAGTGTTCATAGCAGCACTATTTATAATAGCCAAGACATGGAAGCAGCCTAAGTGTCCATCATCAGATGAATGGATAAAGAAGATGTGGTACACACACACACACACACACACACACACACACACACACACACACACACAGTGGAATATTACTCTGCCATAAAAAATAATGAGATAACTGCCATTTGCAGCAACATCGGTGGACCTAGAGATTATTGTACTAAGTGAAGTAAGTCAGACAGAGAAAGACAAATATTACATGATATCACTTATATGTGGAATCTCAAAAATGATACAAATGAACTTATTAACAAAACAGAAACAGCCTCACAGACATAGAAGCCAAATTTATGGTTACCAAAGGGGCAAGGGGTGAGGGTAAATTAGGAGTATGGGTTTAATATATACATACCACTATATATAAAATAAACAACAAGGGCTTACTGTATAGTACAGGGAACTATATTCAATATCTTGTAATAACCTATAATGGAAAAGAATCTGAAAAAGAATAATAGATAGATACATAGATATGTACCTATCTATATATATCTATGTATATGTATAACTGAATCACTTTGCTATACACCTGAAACTGACATAATATTGTAAATCAATATTTCAATTAAAAAATACATATTTAACACTTCATATAATTATGTTTGTTGACCTAATTAATGTCTCGAGTTTAGTTAGAGCAAAATTAAGTTTATTTGAAATGTGAACCATATATAATTATTTTTTTATTTTTTCTGTTTATTGGAGAAAAATAAAATATCCTCCAACGATGTTATTTTCTTAAAGGTCAGACTTAATGAAGCAGAAAAAAAGTACAAGGATATTCAAGATAAACTAGAAAAGATTAGTCAAGAGACAAATGCACGAGCACCAGAATGTATGGCATTGAAAGCAGATCTGACTTCCAAGAAGAGGGCCTATAATGAAGCTGAGGTGAGAGCTTTTCCAGTATTAAAAATTGCATATCAACTGTAAATACTGTTCATTTATTTTTAAAAGTAGAGGTTTTTGTAATTGTGTTGCTTTCAGACTTTAAAAAATATAATGATTTCATATGACCATATATGTATGTTGTTTTAAAAATATATTTCTGCATATATTCACCCTCTGATTTGACGATTTGGCAAAAGTGGTCTTGAATGGGGTATTTGTTTTTCATTTTACTAAAGTATGTCTGATTTTTTTTTTTAGGTTTTATACAACCATTCCCTAAACGAGTATAGAGCATTAAAGAAAGATGATGAGCAACTTTGTAAAAGAATTGAAGAACTGAGAAAAAGGTAAGATAGTTACTTTGCAATTTTCATAGTTATCTCATTTTGTAATAAAGTAATCCAGGTGAAATGGAATATTTTATTTTCTGTATTATTGCTAAAGGAATTTTATCACATTGCTTTATGGTTTTTTTTGTTTTTTGTTGTACGCGGGCCTCTCACTGTTGTGGCCTCTCCCGTTGCGGAGCACAGGCTCCAGACGCGCAGGCTCAGCGGCCACGGCTCACGGGCCCAGCCACTCCATGGCATGTGGCATCTTCCCGGACCGGGGCACGAACCCGTGTCCCCTGCATCGGCAGGCAGACTCTCAACCACTGCGCCACCAGGGAAGCCCTGCTTTATGTTTTTTAAATGTTAGGTTTTTCATTGAACATTTTCCACTTTGTATTATTTACCATTAGTGCTGATCAGTCTTTGGAACCTGAACGGTTGGAAAGGCAAAAAAAAATATCTTCGTTAAAAGAAAGAGTAAAGGTCTTACAGGATCAAGAAAGTTCAGTCAATCAAGAGATCGAACAATTTCAGCAAGCCGTAGAAAAGGACAAAGAAGAACATACCAGAATTAAGTAAGTGTCCACATTCTTATACTTTTTTCAGTTATTTGAAAATCATCTAGTTTTCCTCTTTATATGAAAAGAGAATACATGTTTTTTTTGTTGTTGTTCTTCTTCTTCCTCATAATAAGGGATCTTTTAAAATCACTTTCCTAATAAGACTTCTTAAACTTGTAGAATTGGACAGTTTCTGGGATTTCTAGTCCTCGTCACGACTGCATTTTTTTTTTTTCCATGCTAAGTTTTGAGGTCTTCTGACTAATTTTTCCTGGTAACACACTTGTTTTCAAATGAAGAGATCCGCTTTTAGTTTTTAGGGCAGCTGTGTCATTCACTGGTATGCAGGTATTAGGGGAAAAGACTGAGTATTTCTGTTTAACCGTATCACATATCTGTTTTGTTTTTCCACTTGTATTTTGTAGGAGAGAAGAGTTAGATGTGAAGAATACACTGAACTATAATCAGAGGCAACTGAAAGAATTGAAAGACAGTAAAACTGATCGACTGAAAAGATTTGGCCCTCATGTTCCAGCTCTTCTGGAAGCCATAGATGATGCTTACAGACGGAGGCATTTTACCCGTAAACCTGTAGGCCCTTTAGGTATTTGTCACCAATTAGTCAGTATATAATAAAAATTAGAAGTACATCTTTATTTTCTGGAAGGAGTCTGTTGAATATAATTTTAAAACACTGTTATCGAAGAACCATGTAGTTATATGTAGACTTTGTACATATTTTAAGAAATGATAAAATCACTTTAAACTTTCCTTTTGTATATTTTAAGCATAAAAAAGCCAAAAGAAAGAGAACTTAGGAAAAGGAAAAGTAATTATAGAGTTGAATAATTTGCTTTTTATTTTTTTTGAATGAATAAATGAATGAACTAATTTGCATGTAATTGATTAGTAGGAAAATTCAGTGATATCAAGATATAGTTAAAAGGCCAATCACCTGAGTTTTGTGTAAAACTTGATAAAATGACTTGTCTCTTTAAGTTTCTATTTAGGTTTGGACAACATTACTTCTAAGTCCTCTTTCAACTATAAGCCTGAGGTTATCTAGTTATCCTCATATATACATGAGAAAAAAAATCAGTTGAGTTCTGAGGAGTTATCTCTAATTCTGTACATCATTAGGTGAAAATGATGCTATAAATATACTTTTTTAGTAAAGTACTGTATAAGTACAGTATTATGTACTGTATTAAGTATTGTAGTAATGTCTCTTCATTTAAATGACATGTACCTCTATACCAGGATCCATTTCAATAGATGAGGTATTTTTTTCCCTCTCTAAATCTAAAATTTCAATATTAATCAGTTTTACAGAAAATAGTGAAGAGTCTATAACCCTTTTGGCTTGATTTTCAAAACACCATTCAGAGGCTGGAATAGTATTTTATATATATATATATACACATACGAGAAATACTGTTGATTTACATCAGAGCGAGATAACTTTTCACAGGATTTGGTGGGTTTTCTCCCCAGTGTATCCAGTGGGATGGGGTATTTCCCATTTGGTTAAAATGAGATCTATAATATCATTTAAATTGCTTCATATGAAAATATTTTAAAGTCATTTATGAACTATTATAAAGATGGTTACATTAACATTTCAAGTATTTATGGGCTTTTAATAATTTTCTCTCACTTTTAGGAGCTTGCATTCATCTTCGGGACACTGAGCTTGCTTTGGCCATTGAATCTTGCTTGAAAGGACTTCTGCAAGCCTATTGTTGCCATAATCATGCTGATGAAAGAGTGCTTCAGGCACTGATGAAAAGGTTTTACTCACCAGGGACATCACGGCCACAGATAATAGTTTCTGAGTTTCGGAATGAGGTGTATGATGTAAGACACAGGTAAGGCATCAGTAATTAAATACTGTTTCTGGTTTAGCTTAGTTACGTGCAAGCTCAGAAAGAGTTAAAACATTTTTAATGTTAACCATATCTACACTCCTGATTTGTAAAATTCCATCAAGCCACGTCTTTAATTTGAATCTTAGGCATTGGAGATACATAGATAAATGAGAGATACTCCCTGCCTTTAAGGTCCTCACGTGAGATCTGTTTGGGGAGACATACTGGGAAGTAGACGTTGTGTGGCTTAGAAATTGTACTGAAGAGGGAAATGGTGCAGACCTGGCCACGTTAAGAGGGAGGGCGTACGGAAGAACTTTGGCGCTCATTACTCACAGTTCAACTCTGGGTGGTTTACAGATCCCATAAAGAGCTGTGATTGTTTTCTTTAATGACCCTAACAAACCTCAAGGGCACCAGACCCAAATTGCCTTCTTCGTTAGCTGCTGGCTAGCTAATCACTTTACTTTTAAAGATACACGTGTATGTGTGTGTGTGTTCCTACATATATATATATAGTCCTCTCTATATCCCTATATGTATATTCCTATGTATATATATTCCTGTATATATATATATTCCTATATATATATTCCTATTAACAGATTGTTTTAAAATTTCTTTTCTCTCCCACTCCACTTTTTCTTATAAATCCAATTTTTGCTTTTTTCAATTGCCTTATATTTGGAAACATTAAAAATGCCCTTCATTTTAAGCGTGTTTTTTCTATATTTAATTTGATTGTGGTATTTTTCCTTTTACTTGACTTTATAAATCACGTTTTTATTAAAGTTTTCTTCTAAGCTTAATTAGGATCACCAAATCATTTTGTCCTATAATTCCTCTTACCAGTGAGGCTCACTGTGCTCGCCTAGAATTTGATGTGCGGTTTTTCCTTTGTCCCTCTCGTCCTCTTTAGGCTTTCTACATTATGTTGTTTAGTGAGCCTATTCCATACTTGTCCTTTCCTTGTCTCATTACTGACACATTATTGCTACTATTCCTTCCTACTTTTAGTTTTCCTCGACCGATGTTACAGCATCTCTCAGCAGGCAAAACTAATTGTGATATAAACTAAATATGAAGTGCATCCCAGGGAAGTAGAGCAAAAGGAAGGGGTGGTTGTGACTGGGTGCTTTAGAGCAAGCTAGTGGGAGCAGCCTGTCTAGCAGTGGCATGTGCCTGCTCGAAAATACTTGCTCCTTCCTAGCACAGGAACCTGTGCTTTCAGCGGACTGGCCAGAGCCTATGCTTCACCACAATCCCCTTCCACGTCCCCTCCCTCTTAGACTCGGGCTCCCTATCCTCTCTCCCCTCACTCCCTGCGTTGTTTCATTGGCACTGCTTGATGTTTCTAGAGCGCCCACCCCCTATTCTTTCCTATCTTTGTTTTTACTTCCACTTGAACTCTGTCCTAAGGTTACTATCCTATTTTTCTGCCTCTTTTTAACAGGAAAAACTTCTCAGAAGAGTTGTCTGTGTCACTAACTTCTCTCTTCCCCTTCTTTCTTGAACGTACTCCAGTCAAGTTTTTATAGCTTCATCACATACCAGAGCAGCTCTTGTCCAGGCGCCAGTGAGCCTTGCTTGGCTTGGTCCTGTCGTCCTTCCTTCCCACTCGCTGACTTGACCTACCAGCAGTATTTGATTCAGCTGATCGTTTAATTCTTCCTGAAACACTTTTTTTACTTGGTCCCTAGGATGTCACTCTTCTTGTTTTCGCACATCTCTAGGTATTCTTTTGTAATGTCTTCTGCTTATTTCTCCTCACTTGGGAACCTCCAGTATCAGTGTTCCAGACCTCCTCTCCATGTGCACCTACTCCCAGCACTTACTTCCTGGGTGAACTCATCCAGTTTCATGGCTTAAAATATAGTCCATACACTGATGATCACCACATTATGTTTCTAGCTGGGCTCTTTCCTCTGAACTCCAGAATATAATACATTCAGTTTATATTTTCCACTTTGATGTCCAAAAGACATTTGAAACTTAACATATCTAAAAGCCAAACTCCTGAGATCCACCCTAAAAACTGCTCTTCCTATAGTCACCCCCATCTCCATTTTTCAGTTGCTCAAGCCAAGACCTCAGTCATCCTTGACTTCTTTCTGCCATCCCACATCCTACTGGCTGTACTTTATAAATGTATCCAGGATCTAAACACTTCTGCAGTGCTACCCTGGTTCACACCATTATCATATCTCAAGTGAGTTTTGCTTCTGGTTCCCTTCCATCCACACTTTCAATATCACAGCCAGAGTAAAGTCAGACCATGTCATTCCTCTGCTCAAATTGTCCTGTACTTTCTCATCCTCTTTAGGCCTAACTGCGACCTCTCGGACCCACATGACCCGTCCTCTTGCCATCTCTCCTGTCCTTGTGTCCAGTAGCACTCCCAGCACTGCTCGTCCACCACAGCACACTGGCCTCCCGGCTTCTCCAACAGCCCTCTTAGGGCCTTTGCAAATGCTGCTCCCTGGGCACGAAATGCTCTTCTTCATTATGCTAATGTAACTCCCATTTCCTCAGGTGTCTGCCTGTTGACACCTTAGCAAGGCTTTTCCTGACACTTTCTGTGTGAAAAAGCACAGTATGCCACTTTTTCTTCATTTTTCTGTCTTCCTTCAGTAGAGTGTAAGCTCCATGGGGAGAAGGATGTAGTCTGTTTTGTTTAGTGCTATCTCCTTATCCTCTGAACAGCATCTTGCACATAGTAGGTGCTCAGTAAATACATGTTGAATTAATGAATGAATAAGTGGAAAACATATATACAAAGATATTTCTTTGTTTTGGAATTCTAGAACTAAGAAAGCAGTAAGAATGCCATTGCCTTTTCCCAATGTGTTTTAATTAAATGACTTTTATGTTTGTGTGATAGAGTATAAGATTTAAGAAAATTGTAATGATTAAGTATAACAGGCAATAGAACATAATGATTGAGAATCTGCTGGGTTCTAGAGCTGAGCTGCCTGGTTTAAATCCTAGCCTGACCTCTTACCTTTATGACATTGGGGAACTTATTAAACTCGCTGCAGCTCATTTGGGAAAAAAAAAAAAAAGAGCGAATGATATTATCTATCTCATATAGTTGTTTTGAGGATTAAATGAGCTAATACAGGTTTCCACAGGGATATCCCTCTGTGGGTATAAAAATCTGTGGATGCTCAAGCCCCATACTTGGTCCTCTGTAGCCACAGTCCGCATCTGCTGATTCTGACAACCATGGATATTGCAGTGCATACTGTATTCATTGAAAAAGAATCCACATATAAGTGGACCTATGCAGTTCAAACTCGTGTTGTTCACGGGTCAACTGTATTTATAATATGCTTAGAACAGTGCCTAGCACATAGTAATATATAAATGTTTGCTAATAAAATAAAATAAACCTATTACAGATGTTTTCAAACGTTATCACATATTTTCCATGTCTTGTTACTATCCATCATCTCGTCACCCATTTAAAAAATATACATGTATAATTACCATTTGGTAAGTTAATCCTTATATATTTTTGTCTCCTAGAGCTGCTTATCATCCAGAGTTCCCAACAGTTCTGACAGCTTTAGAAATAGATAATGCAGTTGTCACAAATAGCCTAATTGACATGAGAAGCATAGAGACAGTGCTGCTGATCAAAGTAAGACCAGATGCTTGCTGTATTTTATATTATTCTAAATTTCCTAAACTGAGGTTGGTTATGTAAATTCCTATTCTGCTTACGTACTTGATATTTTATGAATTCTTTTCTTAAAAAAACTTTGAGTTCTGTAAAATAAATCATTGTTTATTCTTCATCAGTGTACATATTTCTATTGATATGTACTTGTTAGATTAGATCACCAATATTTGTGTTTCATCTATTGGCATAAATTTGCTGAGAAGGGACAAGGGAATTCAAAACAAATCTGTAATTAATACAAACAGAGTCTCTTTTTCTCATTAATGGAACCTGAGAGGCAATGACATCAATCATCCAAATGTGTATATGTGAATTGCAAGTTCATATTGTAATTATTTGTGGGCTTGGCCCTCTCATATTTTAGACAGATACTTGAAAGAAAATAATGAAGTCCTCTTGTAAAGGTCTGTTCCAAGGAAGGTTGATTAGGCCTCAGTTAAGCCTAATCCTCTTTTTACTTCCTCTAGGAAGTAAAATACTAAATATTTCCAGGCTTTTCCTACATAATTCAGTGTACTAATCTTTTATTGGAATTTGCTGTTCACTCACATCTTTTCTAGGGTGTAAAAGACATTTAGAAAAAATAAGATTTCATTTTTCTATGAAAAATAAGATTTCTAAGGTAAATATTTTCATGTGAAAAAGTACTTAAAATCTTTAACTTTAGTGGATAGCAATATTAGAATTTAAAAATAAAATCTTATCAGGGAGATTGGTTCAAGATGGCGGAGTAGAAGGACGTGTGCTCACTCCCTCTTGCGAGAGCCCCAGAATCACAACTAACTGCTGAACAGTCATCGACAGGAAGACACTGGAACTGACCAGTATCTGGTATCTTACAAAAAAGATACCCCACATCCAAAGACAAAGGAGAAGCTGCAATGAGATGGTAGGAGGGGTGCAATCACAATAAAATCAAATCCCATAACGGCTGCGTGGGTGACTCACAAACTGGAGAACACTTATACCATAGAACTCCACCCACTGGAGTGAAGGTTCTGAGCCCCACGTCAGGCTTCCCAACCTGGGGTTCTGGCAATGGGAGGAGGAATTCCTAGAGAATCAGACTTTGAAGGCTAGCAGGGTTTGATTGCAGGACTTCGACAGGACTGGGAGAAACAGAGACTCCATTCTTAGAGGGCACACACAAAGTAGTGTGTACATCAGGACCCAGGGGAAGGAGCAGTGACCCCCATAGGAGACTGAACCAGACCTCCCTGCTAGTGTGGGAGGGTCTCCTGCAGAGGTGGGGGTTGGCTGTGGCTCGCCGTGGGGACAAGGACACTGGCAGCAGAAGTTCTGGGAAGTACTCCTTGGCATGAGCCCTCCCAGAGTCAGCCAATACCCCACCAAAGAGCTGGGAAGACTCCAGTGCTGGGTCGCCACAGGGCAAACAACCAACAGAGAGGGAACCCAGCCCCACCCATCAGCAGAAAACAGGATTAAAGTTTTAGTGAGCTCTGCCCACCAGAGCAACACCCAGTTCTACCCACCACCAGTCCCTCCCATCAGGAAACCTGCACAAGCCTCTTAGATAGCCTCATCCACCAAAGGTCAGACAGCAGAAGCAAGAAGAACTACAGTTCTGCAGCCTGTGGAAGGAAAACCACATTCACAGAAAGATAGACAAAATGAAAAGGCAGAGGACTTTGTACCAGATGAAGGAAAAAGATAAAACCCCAGAAAAATAACTAAATGAAGTGGGGATAGGCAACCTTCCAGAAAAAGAATTCAGAATAATGATAGTGAAGATGATCCAGGACCTTGGAAAAGAATGGAGGCAAAGATTGAGAAGATGCAAGAAATGTTTAACAAAGACCTAGAAGAATTAAAGAACAAACAAACAGTGATGAACAGTACAATAACTGAAATAAAAAATACACTACAAGGAATCAATAGCAGAATAACTGAGGCAGAAGAACGGATAAGTGACCTGGAAGACAGAATGGTGGAATTCACTGCTGTGGAACAGAATAAAGAAAAAAGAACAAAAAGAAATGAAGACAGCCTAAGAGACCCCTGGGACACCATTAAATGTAACAACATTCGCATTACAGTGGTCCCAGGGGAGAAGAGAGAGAGAGAGAGAGAGAAAGGACCAGAGAAAATATTTGAAGTGATTATAGTGAAAAACTTCCCTAACATGGGAAAGGAAATAGTCACCCAAGTCCAGGAAACACAGAGAGTCCCAGACAGGGTAAACCCAAGGAGAAACACGCTGAGACACATAGTAATCAAACTGACAAAAATTAAATAAAAATAAAAATTATTGACAGCAACAAGGGAAAATGACAAATATCATACTAGAGAACACCCATAAGGTTAACAGCTGATTTCTCAGCAGAAGCTCTACAAGCCACAAGGGAGTAGCATGATATATTTAAAGTGATGAAAGGGAAAACGTACAATCAATATTACTCTACCCAGCAAGTATCTCATTCAGAGTTGATGGAGAAATCAAAAGCTTTACACACAAGCAAAAGCTAAGAGAATTCAGCACCATAAACCAGCTCTACAACAAATGCTAAAGGAACTTCTCTAAGTGAGAAACACAAGAGAAGAAAAGGACCTACAAAAACAAACCCATAAAAATTAAGAAAATGGTAATAGGAGCATACATATCGATAATTACCTTAAACGTGAATGGATTAAATGCTCCAACCAAAAGACACAGGCTCACTGAATGGATACAAAAACAAGACCCATATATATACTGTCTACAACAGACCCATTTCAGACCTAGGGACGCATACAAGGGACAAGGGAGGACACTACATAATGATAAAGGGATCAATCCAAAAAGAAGATATAACAATTATAAATATATATACACCCAACATAGGAGCACCTCAATACATAAGGCAACTGCTAACAGCTATAAAAGAGGAAGTCGAAAATAACACAATAATAGTGAGGGACTTTAACACCTCACTTACAACAATGGACAGATCATCCAAACAGAAAATTAATAAGGAAACACAAGCTTTAAATGACACAGTAGACCAGATAGATTTAATTGATATTTATAGGACATTCCATCCAAAAACAGCAGATTACACTTTCTTCTCAAGTGCGCATGGAACATTCTCCAGGATAGATCACATCTTGTGTCACAAATCAAGACTTAGTAAATTTAAGAAGATTGAAATCATATCAAGCATCTTTTCTGACCACAATGCTATTAGATTAGAAATCAATTACAGGGGAAAAAATGTAAAAAACACAAATACATGGAGGTTATTTTATACGTTACTAAATAACCAAGAGCGCACTGAAGAAATCAAAGAGGAAATTAAAAAATACCTAGAGACAAATGACAATGAACACAAGACAATCCAAAACCTATGGAATGCAGCAAAAGCAGTTCTAAGAGGGAAGTTTATAGCACTACAAGCCTACCTGAAGAAACAAGAAAAATCTCAAATAAACAATCTAACCTTACACCTAAAGGAACTAGAGAAAGAAGAACAAACAAAACCCAAAGTTAGTAGAAGGAAAGAAATCATAAAGATCAGAGCAGAAATAAATGAAATAGAAACAAAGAAAACAATAGCAAAGATCAATAAAACTAAAAGCTGGTTCTTTGAGAAGATACACAAAATTGATAAACCATTAACCAGACTCATCAAGAAAAAGAGGGAGACGACTCCAATCAATAAAAGTAGAAATGAAAAAGGAGAAGTTACAACAGACACCACAGAAATACAAAGCATCCTAAGAGACTACTACAAGCAACTCTATGCCAATAAAATGGACAACCTGGAAGAAATGGACAAATTCTTAGAAAGGTATAACCTTCCAAGACTGAACCAGGAAGAAATAGAAAATATGAACAGACCAATCACAAGTAATGAACTTGAAACTGTGATTAAAAATCTTCCAACAAACAAAAGTCCAGGACCAGATGACTTCACAGGTGAATTCTATCAAACATTTAGGGAAGAGCTAACACCCATCCTTCTCAAACTCTTCCAAAAAATTGCAGAGGAAGGAACACTCCCAAACCCATTCTATGAGGCCACCATCACTCTGATACCAAAACCAGACAAAGATACTACAAAAAAAGAAAATTAAAGACCAATATCACTGATGAATATAGATGCAAAAATCCTCAACAAAATACTAGCAAACAGAATCCAGCAACACGTTAAAAGGATCATACACCATGATCAAGTGGGATTTATCCCAGGGATGCAAGGCTTCTTCGATATACTCAAATTAATCAATGTGATACAACATATTAACAAATTGAAGAATAAAAACCATTTGATCATCTCAATAGATTCAGAAAAAGCTTTTTACAAAATTCAACACCCATTTATGATAAAAACTCTCCAGGAAGTGGGCATAGAGGGAACCCACCTCAACATAATAAAGGCCATATAAGACATACCCACAGCAGACATCATTCTCAGTGGTGAAAAACTGAAAGCATTTCCTCTAAGATCAGGAACAAGACAAGGATGTCCATCTCACCACTATATTCAACATAGTTTTGGAAGTCCTAGCCACAGCAATCAGAGAAGAAAAAGAAATAAAAGTAATACACAGTGGAAAATAAAAAGTAAAACTGTCACTGTTTGCAGATGACATGATACTATACATAGAGAATCCTAAAAATGCCACCAGAAAACTACTAGAGCTAATCAATGGATTTGGTAAAGTTGCAGGATACAAAATTAATGCACAGAAATCTTGTATTCCTATACACTAACAACGAAAGATCAGAAACAGAAATTAAGGGAACAATCCCATTCACCACTGCAACAAAAAGAATCAAATACCTAGGAATAAACCTACCTAAGGAGGTAAAAGACCTGTACTCAGTAAACTATAAGACACTGATGAAAGAAATCAAAGATGACACAAGCAGATGGAGAGATATACCATGTTCTTGGATTGGAAGAATCAATATTGTGAAAATGACTATACTATCCAAAGCAATCTACAGATTCAGTGCAATCCCTATCAAATTAACAGTGGCATTTTTTACAGAACTAGAACAAAAAATCTTAAAATTTGTATGGAGACACAAAAGACCCCGAATAGCCAAAGCAATCTCGAGGAAAAGAAATGGAGCTGGAAGAATCAGACTCCCTTACTTCAGACTATACTACAAAGCTACAGTCATCAAGACAATATGGTACTGGTACAAAAACAGAAATATAGATCAATGGAACAGGATAGAAATCCCAGAGATAAACTCATGCACCTATGGTCAACTAATCTATGACAAAGGAGGCAAGGATATACAATGGAGAAAAGACAGTCTCTTCAATAAGTGGTGCTGGGAAAACTGGACAGCTACATGTAAAAGAATGAAATTAGAACACTCCCTAACACCATACACAAAAATAAACTCAAAATGATTTAGAGACCTAAATGTAAGACCGGACGCTCTAAAACTCTTAGAGGAAAACATAGGACGAACACTCTTCGACATAAATCACAGCAAGATATTTTTTTATCCACCTCTTAGAGTAATGGAAATAAAAATAAACAAATGGGACCTAATGAAACTTAAAAGCTTTTGCACAGCAAAGGAAACTACAAACAAGACGAAAAGGCAACCCTCAGAATGGGAGATAATATTTGCAAATGAATCAACGGGCAAAGGATTAATCTCCAAAATACATAAACAGCTCATGCAGCTCAATATTAAAAAAGAAAAAAAACAATCAAAAAATGAGAAGACCTAAATAGACATTTCTCCAAAGAAGACATACAGATGGCCAAGACGCACATGAAAAGCTGCTCAACATCACTAAATATTAGAGAAATGCAAAGCAAAACTATGATGGGGTATCACCTCACACCAGTTAGAATAGGCATCATCAGAAGATCTACAAACAACAAATGCTGGAGAGGGTGTGGAGAAAAGGGAACCCTCTTGCACGCTTGGTGGGAATGTAAATTGATACAGCCACTATGGAGAACAGTATGGAGGTTCCTTGAAAAACTAAAAATAGAATTACTGTATTACCCAGCAATCCCACTACTGGGCATATACCCAGAGAAAACCATAATTCAAAAAGACACATGCCCTCCATTGTTCATTGCAGCACTATTTACACCAGCCAGGTCATGGAAGCAACCTAAATGTGCATTGACAGACGAATGGATAAAGAAGATGTGGTACATATATACAATGGAATATTACTCAGCCATAAAAAGGAATGAAATTGGGTCATTTGTAGAGACTTGGATTGATCTAGAGACTGTCATACAGAGTGAAGTAAGTCAGAAAGAGAAAAACAAATATCGTATATTAATGCATATATGTGGAACCTAGAAAAATGGTACAGATGAACCGGTTTGCAGGGCAGAAATAAGAGACACAGATGTAGAGAACAAAGGTATGGACACCAAGTGGGGGGAGGGGGGGGGGGGGGGGTGGGGGTGTTGTGTGATGAACTGAGAGATTGAGATTGACATGTATACACTGATATGTATAAAATGTATGACTAATAAGAACCTGCTGTATAAAAAATAAATAAAATTCAAAAAAAAAATCAGTTTGTCATAAAACATCATTTCTTATGTTTTTAAGACTCTTAATAGTTTAATTCTTTGAATCTTGAAAGTTGTTTTTTAAATTATTTTATTTTTCTCATGGAATTATTTCATTTGAATGTTTAAATAAAAATACTTGAATAGGTATTTTTGGTAATACCTATTACCAAAATTTTTGGTAATTTAGGTAATATTTTGAAATTATATACAACAGAAATGCTTTGGCATATTTTTAAAATGTATTTTCCCCTCTGTTTTTTTAGAATAATTCTGTAGCTCGTGCAGTAATGCAGTCCCAAAACCCACCCAAGAATTGTAGAGAAGCTTTTACTGCTGATGGTGATCAAGTTTTTGCAGGGCGTTATTATTCATCTGAATATACAAGACCTAAGTTTCTCAGCAGAGATGTGGATTCTGAAATAAGGTTAGTGTCCAGTGTAGCTTTACTGTATTATTCCCACTAGTTCTTTGGGGTTCATTTCTTTTCATATTACTCTATTAGTAGTTATGTCAGTGAAGAATTGTGAGTGATCTGTTGGTCTTAAAAGATCATTTAGCTGGATGTAGAATTCTAGATTGATGGTTATTTTCCATCATGACTTTGATGACAGTATTCTGGGCTTGATGAGCTGGTCTGCACATTGATTATTACCTGTCTGCAAGGAGGTAAGGAGCTTAACTCAGAATGTAAATCAGCTACATCACTATACCATTGTTTAGTTTTGCTGATTTTTCTCAGCGAGAGTACAAGTGTGCTGGGTATACATTCTGGCTCAAGGTCCTTGCTGTGTCTCTGCCTGGTACTTTGAGTCACACTGTTCTAGAAGAAAAATCAGTCGGCACCGTTAGATCAAATGCTTAGGGAGATAGAGCTGCTAGAGGAGATGCAGTGAAAAGCCAAACAAAAAACTAAAGGTACTTAATAAGATTCAAACGTGTGCAAAAAGAATTTTTGGTATGTAAAAAGCATGATTTTCCCAACTGAACTATCAGTTGATGAATTGGTAAGGTGGAGCTGAATTAGTGACCTAGAAGACCTCAAGCAGAAGAACATAGAACTTAGGTAAAAGCACTATCTAAGAAAACTGAGTAAAGGTGAAAGTATTCTAAATGGCTTTTATATATAGGGGGAAATGAGGGTTTTTTTTTAAATACCTGATTTTCAAATTATATTAGTTATTTTTGTATGATTATGAGAGCAGCATAAAGCAAAATAACCATAGTGGATATTGGGAAGTTTAGTAAAATTTCTTTTTTAGCAACAGAAAACTGTTGAGTGACCTGCAACTTGTTATTACAGCACTCAACACACATTTTAAATTGACACTGAATCTTTGTGATAGGATAGATGAAAATTCATCAATGTGTGAACGTACCTGTATAAAAGTGACCTGTAAAGTGATAAATTTTTGTCCGCTGTGCCATGACATTTAAATCAGGCCCTTCTAATTCTTAACTGGGTAAGACTAAATTATATAGTACTCAAGCAAACATGAATGTAAATGTATAAACAATATCATGGTAATGTTACTGTGTGTAATTCATGCTTTTTCTTTCAACAAAAAATGCCTTGTGCATTTGTGTTCCACATCTTTAAAAAAAGTATGACATTCTTGGAAAAGGTAGTAAGTGTATCAGCAGCAAATCAGGATCCCTGATTCTAGCATTTTAGTAGTAATGGTTTAACACTTACTTATGAAGTTAATAATTGGCTTCAGTTTTAGCTAAAATATTTGCATCAATGTGTAGTGGACAGAGCTTTTGTTTTAAAAGCCAGGTGAACATTGGTTTTTTAAAAATTGTTTCTCACCTTGATAAACTTTATTGATTGAAAATGTACTAAGTTATCATGATACTTAAATGATATTTGTGTCATTTATTTTGACCTGAACCAGTATGATAGTTGTCTGATATTTGGAAATTTAAAATAATTCACTGGTGTTTTTTAAATACAGAAAATATAAATTGGAAAACAAAAGTAGCTTATAATTCCATCTCTCCACAGTCCCTGCTGACATTTTAAAAATGATTAAAAGTAATATAGGCATATGGTGAGAAAATTCAAACAGTACAGAAATGAATGCAATGAAAAGTGAAGTCCTTTGCCCCCCACTTAGGTATAATGTTTTCAAGGTTCATCCATTTGTGCTCTGTATAAGTACACATATGGTTTCTGTGTCTTGCTTTTTGTCTCAATATTATATCTTGGAGATTGTTCCATATCAGGACACTTAGAGCTGCCCCTTGGTTTGGCTGTTCCATAATCTACCTGACCAGTTCCTGTTGATGGACATACGTGTTATCTGCAGTTTTCTCCTACTATCGCAGTGCTGCAGTGAGAACGCACATGTGTATCTTGGCATACTTCTGAAAGTATGTGCATAGATTAAATTCTAAATGGTGAAAATGCTGAGTCAAAGAATATGTGAATTTAAAAATTTTTAAATTCATTGTTTTATTAACATACAATTTATGACCTGATTTTAAATATTTAATAACATTAAACAATTACTAATATTTTAACACTTAATAATACTAAATGAGCCTTAATATTTATTAAAATAAATATTTAAATTTTATTTTATTATTATATAAGTTGATCATTTAATAGCAATTGCCAAATGACTACAGAGCAATTGATTCCCTAACCCCCTCCCACACTATGAGTATATGAAGTAGGCTTTTCTATACCCTCATCAACTCAGCACTGGCAGGTTCCTGTTGATGAAAGATGGCTCTGAAACAGTTTTTGCCTCTGGCTCCATTTTTACCAGATATACCACACTTATTCTCCTCTTTGTCTTTTTCTCATTTGTTTTTCATTCGTTCAGCTAACATCATTGTTTTTGTTTTTAATTTTGAGAATTCCACAAGGTAGCACGGTTCTAATAGTTCATCAAATTTAAGATGCTCTGTTATTTTATATACCAGTAAAAAAGAAAAGTATTGATAGTTGAACCATGGACTGGAAGGTGATTTCAGAATTCAGAGATGTTAAAATGTGGAAAAGTGTGCATCTTAGTGAAATCTGGCATACTCTTTGTCAGAGAAGAGTCGTTCTTAATTGCACAGGTGGTTCTCTTCCACCAGGCACAGAGTTTTAGAAGACAGAGTCAGTGAAACAGGAAAAGATCACTTCTGAAAGACAGTTGCCTCTGCTGGCATAGAGACCCCTTATGGCTTTGGCATCTGCCGACCTTTCCCTCCACCTCTTTTCATTGTCCTCCTCTCCTTCCCTTTCACTCCCCACACATTCATAGCATTTATTCACCACAGAAAATGTTGAGCTGACCTTCAGTTTTACTGACCTTCAGTCTTATTTGTTTTTCATCTCTTTGTGCCTTCGTGTATTTCTTTCCATCTTCTCTAGGTGGTCCATCTGGTGAAAACTTCAGAGAACACAAGTCAGTTGTCACTTCTCCCAGACTTACTCTTAGGTTCCCGTCGTATTGTGGACATATAGTGCAGTGTCCTGTTCACATTTCAATGTTATGGTTTATTTCCTGATGTTTTGCCTTTTTGTTTGATTCCTTTATGCCTTAATTTTTTTTCTACCTCTGCCTATCACTGTGCACAATGCCTACCACAGATAAATCATAAATACTTACTAATGAAGTAAGTAAAATTTAATTCCAGTTTAGAAGATGTTTTTTTGAAATCTCTGTATTTTCATGTTTTGAATTACTTCGTAGGAATAGAGAACTGGTTTAACTGCATAGGTTTTGCAAAAAAGCTATTAAAAATAGGGCTTTCTTTGTAAAGATCTAAATATTTGTAATATTCAGAAGTAAATTTGAAGTATTTTTTTACCCTCTCTTCTCTATTAAGTGACTTGGAGAATGAGGTTGAAAATAAGAAAGCCCAGATATCAAATCTTCAGCAACATTTGTCTGCCCTTGAAAAGGATATTAAACACAATGAAGAACTTCTTAGAAGGCGCCAACTGCATTATAAAGAGTTAAAGGTAAAAAAACATCATTTGTTTTCTCAACTTAATCATTTCCAAGTTATTTTTAAGGTCTTAACATTCATTTAGTTAGACGAATAGTTCTCAACTATTTTGGCCTCAAGCCCCTTTACAATCTTAAAAGAGCTTTTGCTTGTTTGGGTTTTATCTATCAGTATTCATGTTATTAAAAATTAAAGCAAAATTTAAGAATGTTTATTAATTCATTTAAAAATAATAAGTACATTATGTGTTAACATAAATAACATTTTTATAAAAAATAACTATTTTCCAAAACCAAAAAGATTTAGTAAAAAGATTGACGTTTTTTATATTTTTTAAAATCTCTAACATCTGGTTTAATAAAATTCACCTGAACTGTCATATCAGCTTCTGTAATCAGTCTGTTGCAATATTACACATCATAATTATAAACCTCCTGTACACCTGTAAGAAATCCATAGTAAAATTGGTCTTAAAAAAAAAAGTAATGCCGGGCTTCCCTGGTGGCACAGGGGTTAAGAATCTGCCTGCCAATGCAGGGGACACGGGTTTGAGCCCTGGTCCGGGAAGATCCCACGTGCCAGAGAGCAGGTAAGCCTGTGCGCCACAACTACTGAGCCTGCGCTCTAGAGCCCGCGAACCCCAGCTACTGACCCCGCGTGCCACAACTACTGAAGCCCGCGCACCTAGAGCCTGTGCTCTGCAACAGGAGAAGCCACCACAATGAGAAGCCTGAGCGCAGCAACAAAGACCCAACACAGCCAAAAATAAATAAAATAAAATAAATTAAAAAAAAAAAAAAAGGCTTTTAAATAAATAAATAAATAATGCCTTAGTGTTTTTATGAAAATAGTGTTGACTTCATGGACCCTCTGAAAGAGTCTCAGAGACACCCAGGAGATAGTGGGATTGGACTTTAAGAACCACTGGAGTAATCTTTCCATAACTTGAGACTGGATGTTTCAGGAAAGTACTTTCTCTGTGGACTCAACACTGTCATCATTTTAAATGCTAAGGTGGAGTACTTATATCTGCTTTGCATGAGAGTGGATTAGCAATAATGGTGATCAAGGCAGACTCTATACATACTTTTCTTTGGTTCATTTAATACTAATGTGTCTCTTTCATTAACTATGGAATCCTTCTGTAACATAAAGCAGAGTAGAACTTTGTTGATTAATACATCCTTGCCCAGGGTTTTTGTTTTTATTTTTCATTTGTTTCTATTTACTAAAATCTAAATACTGTTTTTCAAAAGATGAAAATAAGAAGAAGTATTTCTGAAATTCGGGAACTTGAGAATATAGAAGAACACCAGTCTGTAGATATTGCAACCTTGGTAAGATTCTTTTCCTCAATTTCAATGTAATGTTAAAGGAGAAATCTGTCATTTAAGTTAAGAGTATCTACTCTCAGCTTTATAAAAAAATCCTTTTTTGAGGCTACTTTTTATTATTGCTTTATCCATTTACAAAGAAGGTAGAAACTACCTGGTGTATGGCCTTCAAGTTCCTTAATATTTTGTATATGTAACTTGCATGCATTGTAATTGGTTTTGTCTTCTTCTGTTGATACAGGAAATAAAACTTTATCAGAGTTTATTATGTAAATAGTGCCCTTTCAAACCAAACTACCTAGCAGTTTTTTTCAGAATTAATCAGTATCAATATTAGTGATATCTTTTAGTCAGTTGAAGTTGGCCTCTTGGCATTATTTTCTTTTTTCCAAGTTAATGGTTTTAATTCACCGCATATTTGTTACTCTATTTTAATTTCTCTTAGACATCTTTTTATGACATTCAGCTCAGCTCTCTGGGTTACCATAAGTAGTGAATTAGATAGATTGCAGAGTCTTGTTAAAATGAATCAGTTTTTACCAATTGTCTACTCTCTACCAGGCATCATGTTAAATGCTGAGGGACACAACAGTGAACAAAACAGTTCAAGTCCCTGCACCAATGGAGCTTTACTCTAATAAGAATTTGTCTTCATTTTTTATTAGTAATCTGGTTTTCCACTTAGTGTTTTTCTGCTTTCATTACTTTTACTGATAGACTAAATTTCTTAAAGGTATGGACTGTGTCTTGTTTATTTTTGTTTACTCAGCATCTAACACATTGTCTGGCATAAGATATATATTTATATACATTATATTTTGAAAGAAAAAGTGAGTAGATAGAATAAAAGTTACCCCTTTTGATTATGACCTCAAGCACAATGTAGTTTGTCTTCTAAATGTAATCCTTTTCTATTTTTGAACCTATTTCTTCTACCTCCTAATTTACCATTAAGAGTATGAAAATATCATAATTTGTTCTTTGTATTTGTCTTTAATCTGATTTACTTGTAGCCTATAGTTTCTCCTCTTCTAGAATTGTTTGTACTGTTTTTCTATTTGATTACTTAAAAGTGTTTTAACTAATTCTGTATGCTCTGTAAATGTTGCCAGGAAGATGAAGCTCAAGAAAATAAAATCAAAATGAAAATGGTTGAGAAAAACATGGAACAACAAAAAGAGAATATGGAACATTTTAAAAGTCTGAAAATAGAAGCGGAAAACAAGTATGATGCAATTAAACAGAAAATTAATCAGCTATCAGAGCTAGCAGATCCACTTAAGGTATGTATTATTGTTACTCTACTATATATATTTTTTATGTTTCAGTTTTATATACACTGTATACCGGCTAGATATTACCTCAACAGAATTTATGGCTAAATGTAAATGTAACTGTATAAAACCGGGCTGTAAACCAGCTTTTCGTCATTAGATCAATTAGAATTAAACACTCTGCTCATGCCTTTAAGGAGAATAAATTGCCAAATTTCTGATCCCCCAGAAGATTACAGCTTTTGTTACCTTTTTATTTTGTGAGATTTTTTCTTCTTTTAGAACTAGAGGCAGGACATCTTATCTGTCCAGCTTATCTGTTCTCTTGTCCCACTTTTCTGCAATAGTTGAAGAATTAGTTGATATAAAAGCCAGCTTGAAATAAAATGCTACCCAATTCCCATTTATTAACATATCTGCATTATATTCCACCTAGAATTCAATCGGCCTTTTTTTTTTTTCTAAAGCACATACTTTTTGGAACCAAATTAGGGAAATAAAGCTATTTAACAATTAAATTCTGTAAATTTCACCACGTTTAATAGCTTTGTTGTCAAGTAGCTTATTATCACTCCCATTTTTATGAATAACTCAATTATTCTCGAAACCTCAAATTTTATTTATAAGACATTGAGAAGAATTAATAGTATGTTTTAAGAGGAGAAAGGTTTATTGACAATATAACCCCCTTTTTTTGCAGGAAAATTACCCCTTTGAATCAAAATGTATTTAGATATTTTAAAAATTTTAAAGAATTTGCATGCATATGAACTTTACTGTAATTGTCTCCATTGTCAATTTTAGAAAACATAATTTATTAAAGGAAGTCAGAGGAGGACCCGAGCAGAAACAACTTTCCTCTGTTTGTGGTGGCCTCTCTATAGCTGCTTTCCACAGAGCTGTGATTCCTGCCTGCTGTTGTAATGCAAGGTGGTTTACTTTTTTTCTATTTGAGATAAGAATAAAAAATGGGAAAATAGACTGATAAATAACTGATTAAGAAGAATATAAAATTTTAATAATAAAGTTTTGAGGAAGGAAAAAAGTAGGATACTATTGAAAAAAACAAAGTCGTTACTACAGGAAATTGGAATTAAAAACACAAAAAGTCCAAGATAAAAAAGAAGACAAAATTAGTTTTTAAAAGGAAATAGAATAAGAAGAAATAAAATAAGTATGAAAATTGTCAGGAATAGGAGAGAGAGAATTCAAAACTCAGAAATTAGAGCAGTGAAGTTAAAACAAAGATGAGATAAAAGAAAATTTTAAATGGGTGGAGGATTGAGCAGGGAAACTTAAAATCAAAATGATAAAGTATGCTAAAACAATATAGGAAAAGAAATAATTAGCATCCGAATTGTCCCAGATAGCTTAAAATTAAAAACAAAAAATGAAGGATAAGCTGTGTTCTGTTCTTTTAGGGACGTGTAGGCTAACGCAACTCCTGGAATTGGGAGTGCGTAGATAAGTTCAAGAGCGGAAAATATGGGCAGAAGGCAGTAAGAATTCTTGGTCTTAAGTTCTTTGCCTTGGTTGCAAATAAGTGAAAGCTAGATGAGTCCTTCAGTAAACCTGCATGCAGTCAGCCAGTAGCCAAGAGGGTTTTCCTTTGCAATATCACATCCCAGTAGCCATCCCAATAGGTAACAACAGGACCAAGAATATTTGGCTAACAAAAGAATTTAATTCCTCAGAAACTGTCTTTGTGATATATTAGCAGCTTCTAAATATAATCTCTTTGCTATCAGGATGTTTGTTCATTTTGTGTCAGAGGAGTGGTGAGGAGTGGAATACTCTGTTCAAATATGTAGTCATTGAAATCTTCTCATAAGATTTCAGTATTTTTCTCCCTTTGAACAGTTTATTTTGATTTACACTGCAAACTTAATGCTTTAGTCACAAATTAAATTTTTTGTACAGGGAGCATGACCTACATCAAAAAAGATGGTCTGCATTTTGGAGTAGGAGGGCCTCTCAGTTTCTGATAGAGACAATAAGTGTTTATTTGAATTGAGGCTGACCATGCTTTTGAAAATTCCAAGATCTAATGATCTATAGCTTTTTAAAACCTCATAATTGATGTAGAGTTATATGAAGCAAGTGGCTATAATACATACTGTAGGAATTTATCCAATGTTGTCGGGTAACTAAAATTGGTTATTTAGGCATCAAAGAGAATAAAATTTTTCAATGATTCTGTCCCTTCTAGCATCTCAGCCTATCTTTTTAAAGGCTGAACTTTTTAGGGCTACATCAGGATTAATTTTAGATCTAATCCAACCTAGTCCTCACCCCAAAACCAGGATGAATGTCACTAGCTGGTTTTTAATATCTCTAAGTCTCTGTTTCACCATCAACAACATGAAAGTAAAAGAAATACTCTCTTGGTTCCTTTTTAGTTTTAAATTTGATGGTACCTATGATATAAATTTATTAAATATATAAGGACAAGTCAAAAGCCATGATAAACGTGGAGAAAAGAACATTAAATTCTTTTCATCCTATTTTATAAGTCAAGTCTTTCCCTTTCTAAAGTTGCTAGGAGAAAAGATTAAGCAGCACAAATCTGCCCTGATATAATTGACCCCTTTGGCTCTAGAAAGCTGATTTGGTTCCCTAAAGCAAATGTGGACATATTTTGAAAGTTTCTACCAAAAATGATTAGAAAATTTAGTGTTTAACCATTCTGTTTCATAAGGTATTGCAATTTCTAACTGTAGTATCTCCTACTATATACATTGCACCCATTTTCTTTTATTCTCCTCAAAGTAAAGGAACAGAGTATCTCCGTACTCCATATAACAATGTTTTTATTTTTAATAGAACTCTGCTATAAAAGCTGTATATTATTAAGTGTCTACCTTGAGTGATAGTTATTTTTAGCAGTACGAACAAGATGCAGTAAATTGTATTCTTAGGTCAGCAAATAGCCTAAATCTATTATTTTATATGAGGTAAATACTTGCAATTTTTAGATACTTCACATGTTCTTTTTCTTTTTGGGATATCTCCAAATATTCTGTCTTCCTTGATGCTGTTGTTTTGGTTTGCGGTCGTTTCTTTTTCCTTATAACCGTGATTCTTGAGGGTGAACATGATCATCACAGCATGTATGTCCAGTACTAGGCTCAAAGAACAGACCGACTGAAATTTAATTTGGTGGTTATTAAATCAAGAGCCATTTTAAAAATTGAGATTCAGGGATTCTCAGCTACGAAAACGGAATCTCCAAAGGTGGAGTTTGGAAATCTGTATATTTTTTAAAACATCCAAATTGATGATAAAGAAGTCAATCTGTATATCAGTATTTGAGAAAGCTGCCACAATTGGTGGCTATGTGTATATATATATATAATCTTCTAAATAAAATCTTTTCACCAGGCTATGCCTCCTTTAAAGACATTTGTTTACTGCATGTACTCAAATAGAAGGCAGATGCCCATAAGAAGGGAAAAATCCAGTAACAAAGGAAAATGTATTTTAGTCGCCATTCATATATGAAATTATTAGGCAAAATAATCAAAATGTGTACTTGACATTAGGTCTACTAATTTAATTATACATGAACACAAAATCACAGGTACAAAGTGATATATTTAACATTTAGAAATACTGCTTTGTTTCCATTTACATTTAAGGAATTAATTTTTTTAACCTTTCTCATGTGTCTTCAGCGTTGGCATCTTTACGGTGATTAGAGCTGTATTTTGAGTAATTAGAAGAGTTGAGTGATGGATTTTTCCAGAGCTCTTGATCTTCTCTTTCATCTATATTATTTTAAATATAGCACTTTTAATAAATCATCTTTTGGGCTTCCCTAGTGGCGCAGTGGTTGAGAGTCCACCTGCCGATGCAGGGGACACGGCTTCGTGCCCCGGTCCGGGAAGATCCCACATACCATGGAGCGGCTGGGCCCGTGAGCCATGGCCGCTGAGCCTGCGCGTCCGGAGCCTGTGCTCCGCAACGAGAGAGGCCACAGCAGTGAGAGGCCCGCATACCGCAAAAAAAAAAAGAAAAATCATCTTTTAATTTAAATAGGGTAAAATTTACTCTTTTTTGTGTCAAAACTTAGGAGTTTTGATAAATGCATGAAGTTGTGTACCCAACACCACAATCAAGATACAGAACAGTTCTATTATCCCTCCCCCCTACCCCCCTCCCAAATTCCCTTACAGGGCTCCTTCGTAGCCAAACCTCCCCCGCCCTTAATCTCTGGCATCACTGATCTGCTCTTTATCACTGTGGTTTTGCCTTTTACATAATATCACGTAAGTGGAATCATAATATGTAACCTTTTGAGTCTGGCTTCTTTCATTTAGCATGGTGTATTTGAGACTTATTCATGTTATCATTATCTGATTAATAGCTTATTCCTTTTTATTACTGAGTAATAATTCCACTGTATGGATGTACCACAGCTTGCTTATTCATGTACCTATTAAAGAACATTTGGATGGTTTCAGTTTTGGTGGTTATGAATAAAGCTGCTCTAAACCTTTAAGTGTAGGTTTTTGTATGATAGGGTTTCATTTCTCTTGGTTAAGTGCCTAGTACTATAGTAAATGTTGTAGATTTTTAATTCATTTTTCAATTATTCCTCCTATTTAGAAATATTACTGATTTTTGTATTGGCCTAGTATCCAGTGACCTTTCTAAACTCACTTATTAATTTAAACACTTTTTCTTTGGAATTTCTTTATACACAGTCATCTCTCTTTTAAATACGGTTTGATTCTTCCTGTCCAATCTGTATACTTTTTATTTCCTTTTCTTATTTTAATTGAACCATCCAGGACCTCCAATAAATGTTAACTAGAAGCAATGGGACTGCACGTCCTTGGCTTGTACTTAATCTTAAAAAGAAAGCACTTGGGCTTCCCTGGTGGCGCAGTGGTTGAGAGTCCGCCTGCCGATGCAGGGGACACGGGTTTGTGCCCTGGTGCAGGAAGATCCCACATGCTGCAGAGTGGCTGGGACCATGAGCCATGGCCGCTGAGCCTGCGCGTCCGGAGCCTGTGCTCCGCAACGGGAGAGGCCGCAACAGTGAGAGGGCCCGCGTACCACAAAAAAAAAAAAAAAAAAGCAGTTGATATTTCATCTTAAAAGTAATGGTTAGCTGTTATTTGTTCTTGTTTGTATTTCTTCTCTTTATTTCTTTCTTTTGGGATTAGCCAAGTAATTTTTAGTGTTCCTTTTTAAAATTTCCTCTACTAGTTTGTTTAGCTACAATTTTTGTTTTTTTTTGTTTTTTTTCCCAGTGGTTGCTGTGCGTTCCAATATGCATCTTTACCTTATAGTTTACTACTGTTTCCCTTTAAAGTGAACTTGGGATAGCTTCTTTACAATTATATTTTGTTCTCAAAATTATGAGGTTACACCTCCAGAAATGATGACCAAATAAGTCAGTGTTAAATTTCTTCACATCTTTTCCTCCTCCACCCCAATTCACCTTTTTTTAAAACCGGGTTTCCTCTGTCAGGTACCTCTGTAATATACAACACTTGCATTGTTTTAAGTCTTTTCAGGCTACCATAGCTTCCCAGGAAACTGCCTTGTTTACCAAAATAAAGTTGAGAGCACCATAAGGTATGGAGACTTCATACAAGAACTTTAATATGATAATGTGACTTCTCAATTTGGGAAACTCTTCACTTCTCTTCAGAAACATATGGATATGAACTTAATAACACTTGCCTCTTAAAGCAGCATAATCCTGTCCACTTATTGAGTTGTCAGTTAGTTTATGCCTATGCTGATAATTTTTTAAAGCAATCTTTATAGATTATTTTGGTTTTATTTAAACAGGATGAATTAAACCTTGCTGATTCTGAAGTGGATAACCAAAAACGAGGGAAACGGCATTATGAAGACAAGCAAAAAGAACACTTGGATACTTTAAATAAAAAGAAACGAGAATTAGATATGAAAGAAAAAGAACTAGAGGTTATCCATCATTTTTTTAAATGTTTTGGTTACACCCTTAGTCATGATTATTAAAGTGTGTTTTCCTAATGTCATGTTTTCCAAACATAGACATGTTGTCCGATGACTATCTGTTTTGTATGAAGTAACAGCTGTTTCAGTGAATCAACAGAGGAAAAGACTGAGGGACTCTCAGTGTGGGGACTTCTTAGATCAACATGAAGAGGATTTTAGGCAGCACTGCCACAGCCCCATGTAGTGTCACTGAGTGATTTGGAAAATGGCACGCCCTCCACTGAAATAGTTCCTTAAATGCCCAGGTTGGCAAGTGCATACAGCTTTATGTCAGAAAAATGCTCCCCTGCCTCTGAGTAACTTGGATGTGAGCTGGGTTGCAGTTCAGCTCCCACTTACTAGATAACGTTTGTTGACAACTGAAAGCAGCAGCCTTGTTTTTAGAGGAGAGTAAGTTGAGGGCAACCGTGGTTTAACCTAAAAGAGATGAATTCCAGCTTTGCTTTTACATGTCTTAGGAAAATGATTTAAACTCTGGAATTCATTTCCCTACTTGTTTAAAACTTACTGTACTACAAGTGTCGTGAATATAAATACTATGTTTGATATGTTACAAACACGAGGGTCTTTGTGTTTCAGTACTACTTGATGTTCAGAATCCATCCTAAAACACACAGAATGCTATGTCTGACCTCAGCACCCTGGGTGCCAAACCTTTCATAACTGCTACTTGAAATTTGTTTCACTAGGAAGTTATGGAGCTCTTACAAATTATTAAAGTGTGTACACCAATGCAATTTTCTCTTGAAGATTATGACAACTCTGGACCGTATTCTCAGTATAAAGCTTAGAACAATAATGATATTAAACGTAATTAAGATACATTTCTTAAACATAAGTTCAGAATTCTGTTTTGCATACTTTGGCACAAGTAGTACAGTGAATTGTTATATCAAAGAAGAGTTTTAAAGTTAAACATCTGTTATCATAGGAGAAAATGTCACAAGCAAGACAAATCTGCCCAGAGCGGATAGAAGTAAAAAAATCTGCATCAATTCTAGACAAAGAAATTAATAGATTAAGACAAAAGATACAGGCAGAACATGCTAGTCATGGAGATCGAGAGGAAATAATGAGGTAAGTGATTGCTCGCTTTTCTACTTTATGATATTATCCATAGATATATAATAGTGAGACAAAAAATAACATTTATATATCAATCTTAAATTTGGGTAAAGTGTTGCTATGGCATATAGTTATAGCTAAACTAGCCTTTCGTACATGTATTATTAATAATAAACATTTTTCCTTTGGAATTATTACAGAACTCATTACAGAATGACATTTTAACATAGTTGCCATTTTTATACCTGTAAGATTCATATAGACATGAGGATGTTCAGCTTCAGAAGTAATCAAAGAAATGCAAAGCAAAACAATTAGAAGCCATTTTCATATATATCAAGATGAAAAGAACACATATTTCATGTCAGTGAGATTTCAGTGCAATGGATGTTTTTATATTGTGAAAATGGAAGCTCTAGTTTAGTTAGAGCACGGGTTCTGAAGCAAGAGTACCTCAGTTTGAATTGCAATTCTGTTACCTACTAAACTGACTTTGGAAAGTTATCTAATCGCTCTGAACCTCAAATTTCTCATCTATAAAATGGGTATAATTATAGTACTTACCTTATAGAGTTGTAATGAAGATTAAATGAGATAACCCATAATAAACAATGTATAGGATACATAATATGTTAGATGTTATTGTTATTAGTCTTTCTGAAAAGTTTTAAGGTAGTTTATGTTAAACGCCTTTAAAAATTTCAATTTGGCCAAGTAGTTTTGTTGTTATAATCCAAAATGAAAAAAACAATTTGTACTTGGATGTTTATTGCAGCATTAGTATTTTTTTTAGTTGAGATATGGTTGATTTACAATATTATATTTCAGGTGTACAACATGGTGATTCAGAATTTTTATAGATTGTAGTCCCTTTATAGTTATTATAAAATATTGGCTATATTCCCTGTGCTGTACAATATATTCCTGTAACTTATTTATTTTATACATAGTAGTTTGTATAACACTAAAAAATTAGAAATCTTGTATAACTGGATGATAATGATTGAATTACAGTAGAAAATTATAGCTATTAAACTTTATGAAGAATTTTTCATATTAAAAAAGGCAGGGAACAGGAGTGATCTCAATTCTGTTTTCACAAACTTTGGGGAAAAAGGGAAAGAAACAAAAATAGTAACAAGTTTTTCTTTAAAATAGGTAATACCTTACATGTTTTAAAAATATAATGTGAAAGGGCAGACAATGAATTTTTTCACTTTTATTTTATTTTATTAAATTAATTTATTAAATATGCTTTCAGTGTTTCTGTATGCAAAGGCAAGATGATATGAGTATGTGTTTTCATCCTGCTGGGCCCTCTCAGAGCTCCCTGCACTCCCTGTTCTTCCTATTAAATATATTTGAGATTTTACTTTATGTTTCGTTGAATGGCATTTATTTACTTAACATTTTTTCCATAAAATAGGCAATATCAAGAAGCAAGAGAAACCTATCTTGATCTGGATAACAAAGTAAGGACTTTAAAAAGGTTTATTAAATTACTGGAAGAAATAATGACCCATAGATATAAAACGTATCAACAATTTAGAAGGTAAGTGTATTAAAAAATATTCCCACGTATTGTACATGTTTGTTTTTTCTTCGTTTTCACATTCTCGCTTATAAATAATAAAATTAAAAGAACTTGCATGATTTATTCAGAAAAGAAATGGTGGTAGTGCTTGGGATCCTGGATTTGAAGGGACTTTTATAGTGAGCTTTTTAAACTTAAACTGCATTAGATATGCTTTACTGGATAACTCATAGATGGCTGTTCAGTCTATGCTTAAATGGGTCATTTGGAAGCTCGTTGGTTCTGTTAACAGACTGTTTCACTGTTGGACATTGCATGTTCTCAAGGCATATGCGTTTTGATGGGACGTGTTAAGGCAGTTTCTCAGTTGATTACCATGATCTACTAGAATGGTGTAGCTCCAGGGATGCAGAGTCTATGTTTTGTTTGCTGCTGTATCCCCAGTACCTACCGCTGTGCCTGAAATATAGTAGAAACTTGATAGATATTGGTTGAATGAATGAATACAGGATCAGCAAAACTGGATGTCATTAATATACCCAGAAATGTGCAGATTGACAGGGATAAGTTAACCTCAGCTAAAATCACAAGCAACAGAAATAAAGGACAGTTTATAGGGTAGGGTTGCCCTTTGATATACTTGGATCCAAGGCAGCCCTAGTCTTTCCACCTAACCTGTATTTTCCCCATGACATTCCCTCAGTAACATGCGTTTTAACTACTTATACCAAAAACTATAATCTTAAGACTATAGAATTTTTTTTTTTAATTTAGCTCTAGTACGTATGGGGAAATTCAAATAAAGCCATAACGAGAAACGGGCTTTGCATGTTTGACCATATTCCTTAACTGAACTATAACTTAGTTCTTGAAATGTGTATTTCAGTTTTATATGCATGTTATTAGGACTTGACTTAAAGAGTTTTTAATTTTATCCTTTTGAGGCTGCCTTGCAGTTTTGTTAGGTGGGACCAGAGCAGGCTTTGGTGAAGGACTGATTTTTTTCCTACCTGTGCAGCTGGGTTCTTCTGGGTCCTCTGTTGATATGTTGTGAGGTTGTTCCACTCATGCCTTTGGGAATATGAACTATTCCTGGCTCTGGGTGACCTCGGGGGTTGTTTCTGGTTCTGTTGGGTGTTCCTCTCACCAGCCTCGGGCAGTATCCTCTCACGGACACTGAGGAGGACGGTGCTCAGCCCGAGGCTCTCCCTCCCGCCTCTGTGGTCCTCTGGAGCTCTCTCTGTGCTGCTTCGTGAACCGGAGGTGCCTTGACCGCCCCAGACCCCTAACAGGAAGACTTCTGGACTCTGCTTGGGTTTCCACTCCCCTTTACTCTCAACATAAAAGTAACGTGGGGCGTTCACAGGGCTCAATTTGTTTGTTTCCCATCTTTCAGAGATTCTTTTGACTGGAACTGTCTGCGATGTCTGATGTCCAGAGTCCAAAAACTCTTGTTTCATAGACTTTGTCCAGTTTTCTAGTTGTTTCACGCAGAAGAGTAAATCTAATGCCTATTACTGTGTCTTTTCCAGAAGCAGTAGGGTTCGTTTTCATATTGTTATTCAGAAAATTTTAGAATATTTTCTGTAAAGGTATTGGTCTTATTTAGTTTTCTATCTTGATATGTTTCTTCACCACTGACATGTTTTATATTGTTTATCCAATCTTGGGAGGACAATAAAAATGGTCAAATTTTTTAAATTGTTTATCTCTTTACACTGGAGAACCTTGCCATTTTATGAGGACAGTCTCTTTTAGTCATCCCATGAGTGGAAGCAATTGAAGAATACGTATCAGTATTGAAAGAAAGAAAAGTTAACAGAAAATTCTGAAAACCAGCTAGCAATAGTTGTGGCAGCAAAAGAGAACTCAGACTATCAGTATTTTCGAATGTGGAGATTTAATACAGTTTAGGAAGGGAATTGGGAGGGAAAAGAATAAAACGATAGTTATTCCGAAGAAAGGAGCCTTGGACTCATTAAGGAGCAAAGACGTCAAGAAAAGTAGCCAGTCACCTGTCACCTAGATCTTATATTCTGAATACCATTCCGCAACAAAAGGAACCAAGGCTCCTTTGAGAAATGGCTGATGATACCGGAGCAGAGCAGGGAAGGTGTAGATGAGCCTCTTGCTATGCCAGAAAGTAAGGAAGTGCCCCCCCAAAATGTGGAGTCATGATAAAAGGACATAGGCAGCTTGAAGGGGCTCCACTGGCAAAAGCTGGGACCAGTTGAAGACCAGAATAAATAAGAACCCAGTGAATAAAATAAGAATCCGTGACTGCGTCCTTATAAACAGAAAGGTGGTAAGTAAATAAATGAGGAAGAAGGGAAAGCTCTTCCTTACAGCAGAATGCCATATGACAAATAAGTGAAGTTCACGTTGTGCTAGACAGTGCGTAAGGTATTACAGGTACAACATGATTAAGAGATTGCCTTTGCCCTTTTTGCTACTGTAAAGTTAGGAGGAGACAGGCAAATGAATAGGCAGTTTACCATTATCTTAACACTACTAGAGTTTAATCCTCTCAAGGACAAGATTCATGTCTTCTGTATTAGGGTGATATATAAATTAGTTGAATGAGTGATACATTCATATGGACTGACTGTAATATAATGGGTTTCATTATATGTGGGATGACATCTTTATTCATTTTATAGATGTTTGTTTATTATAAAAGGAAATGAAGTGGTAAAAATGTGGAGACATGAACGAAATATAAAGACACAGGCAAAAATCATCTAAAATTTTACCTATTAAATGGGCACCAGTGTTAACATCTTGGCATACTTTCATCTGGCCTTACATGCTGGTGTAAAGATCATGCTGAATATACAGTTCTGTATCTCTGTAATCTTTTTAATATGCCCAATTTCTTTTTTCAAGGTGTTTGACTTTACGATGCAAATTGTACTTTGACAACTTACTATCTCAGCGGGCCTATTGTGGAAAAATGAATTTTGACCACAAGAATGAAACTCTTACTATATCTGTAAGTATCTTAACTCTTTGCGTGTTAGTCATTAAGAGAATTAGCTGCTTCATTTCTTTTGATGATATTTTGATCTGTTGTCATTGGAAAACAAAATAACTTACTTTGAAGTTAAAGATAGTCTTTGCCAAAGTGTTGAAAATTAAATTGATTTTACTGACTAAAGCCATTACTTTAGCTTTTTATTTTTTCCCCCAGACAGCCACATTATTTTCTTATGGTGATAATTAGGAATTTTATTTTCAGTGATAAATATTTACCTTCTCTTTAAACTCCACTGGTTCCTTTTTAAAATTCATGTAGCATTTTAAATTACGTGGGACATTATAGAAAGTGTATTCTCTGGCCCCACTATAGGAAGCCAGAAGAGAATTACTCAAAGAATGTTCAACCCCATGTAATTGTCTTTGTGCTACTTATTTTGGAAGGTATCCCTAGATCTAGCCTCTTTTGTATAAAGGAAGCCACCACTTTCAAATTATGGAGTCTGTGTGTCTGGATTCTATCACAGTCACATGCATTAAAGGAGGAGTGTGGGATATAGCATTAAAACTGCGCTTCCCCGGTGGCGCAGTGGTTGAGAGTCCGCCTGTCGATGCAGGGGACACGGGTTCGTGCCCCGGTCTGGGAGGATCCCACATGCCGCGGAGCAGCTGGGCCTGTGAGGCATGGCCGCTGAGCCTGCGTATCTTGAGCCTGTGCTCCGCAACGGGAGAGGCCACAACAGTGAGGGGCCCGCATACCGCAAAGAAAAAAAAAGAAAAAAAAGTGAGTCAGGAGGTCAAAAGCAGCTACTCACTCTAAATAATTGGGTCAAACTTTTCAAATATTTGCATACTATTCTTAGTTGCCATAAATTTTATACTTCCATTTTAATACTTAGAATAAGTAATAATTTGCCATACAGATATGCAACTAAGAACCCATCTAAAAATTTTTAAGAATAATAATAATTGAGAAAAAGAATGACAATACATTTAAAAATGGTTAAAAGTCATTAATTCGCCAAGTGGTGAATAAGCACATGAAAAAGTGCTCAGTATCGCTAATCATCAGAGAAATACAAGTTTATACCATAATAAGTTACTATCCCACTCCTATTATTGTGACTAAAATGAACAAGATTGATAATACCTTGTGTGGGTGAGGTTGTGGACTTAGAACGCTTATACCTTGCTAGTGGGAGTATAATTTGGTAGAACTAATTTAGAAACCTGTCTTGCAGGGTCTATTAAAGCAATTCCACTTTTCAGAACTCTTCAAAAACCAGTAAAATTTATCTACAGTAATTAAAGTCAAAATAGTGGTTACCTTTTAGGGGTTGGTAGTTGACGGGAGAGGACACAGGGAATCTGCTGAGATGCTAGAAATGTCCTGTCTTGATCTGAGTAGTGGTTACCCAGGTGTGTGTGTATATGTGTACGTATATGTCAGAATTATTTGAGCTAAACACTTAAGCTTTGTGTTCCTTACTGTATATAAATTATACTCTAGTAAAAATTATACTCTAGTAAAAGAAAATATTAGGTGTTTGGATAATTTATCCCCAGAGCCATAGCTGTTCAAGACAACTGAAACTAGATTTTCTGACATTATCATCCCTGTTATTCAACAGAATATTATTGCTTTAAGAATCTTCAAGTTTTCTAGTGTTCATTTTACAAATAACAAAACTGAGGCAGAAGTCCCATGATAGGTTTACTAATAGACCAGGGATAAAATTTAGATCTCCATAATTTATCTGGGGCTTAATTCATTAGAATGATACAAGATGCAGTTTGGGAGCAAAAGACTGCATCCTGTTTCTTAGTTCTTACTGTTCTGTTTTGTGTGTGTGTGTGTGTGTGTGTGTGTGTGTGTGTGTGTTTGGTTTTGCTTGGCTTTTTACTGCTTATGTTAATGTTGCTTTTGTGTTTGGATTTTCATAGAGAATTCAGACTTCAGATGATAAATATAAAATTTCAGTGTATGTTTAAATTCCGAATTTTTTATAACCCTTAGAAGATTAAAATACAAGTGAATGCTCACTTGAGAACCAAATAATTTTTCAAATAGTGTTTTGGAAAATACGTGAAGCTGTATATCTGTTAAAACACATATGATAAAACTGGTTGGTGCTCTGTTTTTTCAACTTGAGCGCATATATGTATATCTGGAATTCTCTTAAAATGAAATCGAGTTCCTTCAAATGTTACATATAATGTCTTCTTAGGAAATTATATGAAAATGTTATCTCCCTAATTACTTTTATATTGTTCCCATGAACACTTACTAAGAGAAACTTTTAAAAGGGAGTTATGTATTTCAGTTGATTGCTGCTGTTACTCTTTGGCCAGTGTGAGCCTCTTTAAGTTGGTCCTGTGTCCTTTTGACACTCAGTAATTACTCTGAAAGCAGTTTAACCACTAGATGTCACTAGAATTCAAGTAACAAAAGATTAACTTGGCACTTAAAATGTTTGACAAAAAGAAATAAAGAAAACAATCCCATTTACAATAGCATCAAAAACAATAAAATACATAGGAAATTTAACCAAGGAAGTGAAAGATCTATACACTGAAAACTATTAAGACATTGATGAAAGAAATTGAAGAAAACACAAATAAATGGAAAGATAACCCTTGTACATGAATCAGAAGAATTAATATTGTTAAAATGTCCATACTATCCAAAGCTATCTATAGATTCAGTGCAATCGCTATCGAGATTCCAAAGGCATTGTTCACAAAAAGAAAAGACAACCCTAAAATTTGTATGGAACCACAAAAGACCCCTAATAGCTAAAGCAATCTTGAGAAAAAAGAACAAGCTGGAGGCATCACATTTCCTGATTTGAAGCTATGTTGCAAAGCTATAGCAATCAAAACAGTATGCTATTGGCATAAAAATAGACACATAGACCAATGGAACAGAGTAGAGAGCCCAGAGATAAACCCAGGCATATCTGGCCAACTAATATTTGACAAAGGAGCCAAGAATATACAATGGGGAAAGGATAGTCTCTGATAAATCGTGTTGGGAAAACTGGATATCTACATGCAAAAAATGAAACTGGACTAACGTTGGTACTTTTATTATTAAACCTTTGGACTTTTGGTATGTGAGATCTGGTTATGACGAGAAACTGTTTTCAGTTTGATTCTCTCACAATAAAACAGAAACCACCGTTACACAGCTCACTGTTTTACTCTAAAATATTTTGAATAGAATAGTTGTCGTTTCCAAGTCACTAAATGATTTTTTAATCTTCTTTTTTACTATAAACTCATCCTTTCTAATGGTAGCCAATCTTTTTTGTAAAGAAATTAATCTGTTTTTTTCCTATACTTTGTTTTTTGTCAACTCATTCAAGGTTCAGCCTGGAGAGGGAAACAAAGCCGCTTTCAATGACATGAGGGCCTTATCTGGCGGTGAACGTTCTTTTTCCACAGTTTGCTTCATTCTTTCTCTGTGGTCCATTGCTGAATCTCCTTTCAGATGCCTGGATGAGTTTGATGTCTACATGGTAGTGTTGACTTTTAAATTCTCTAATTTTTTGGTTGTTTGAAATGTATATTTTGAAAGGAAGCAATTCATTCTTTAGTTTTACCTATAACAGAAAAGATCCTGCTCTGATAGTTTTGTCTGTGATAAGTGATAAGAGAAGAACCAAAGAATTCCAGTTCTCTCCCTTGCTAACATACCACACTGGCAGGGACCCCGTCCTGGATTTGCAGCCTTTTCCCCAGTTTGCTTCCATCTTCCATTTTTACACATAATTATAAGCAGTTCCCCACATTTGCTTTCCCTGACTCTCGCCACTGTTCTCTCCCTTCCTGCACAGCCACACTTTTCAAAACAGCAGTGTGTGTAACAGGAGGGAGCGAGGACACTGGACTTCGAAGTTAAAAAACCGAAGATTGAGACCTACCTCTGTCACCAGTTCCCCAGCTGACTTTGGGCAAGATATCTATCCTCTTTGGGCCTCAGTTTCTTCATCTATAGAATAGATTATTAACCTTTCCTACCTTGTAGGGTTAGAGCGAGGCTCCAGTGAGGTCCTATCTGTAATGTGCTCACTATGGTGCGGGCGCACAATAGGGCCTCCCAAATCAGCTGTGAAGCATTCTCCTTACTGCTTCATGCCTCCTTCTTTACTAAATCTACCGTAATCTGGGTTTAGACGACAATATACTCCAGCAAAGCTTGTTTAGCAAAAATCATAAGAACTTTAATTCGGTGAAGTATGTGGCACCACAGACTGACCTTCCATCTCTTAAACTGTGTCTTCTTACCTCCTCTTCGTTCTCCGTGCGCCAGTCTGCCTCCCCTAATTCGGGTGCCCTTAAATGTTTGAGGTCTTCTTTGTTTTTCATAGTGGTGTTAATTTTCCTGGATATCATGTTCTACCTACCCCCAGCCCCCACACACACAGACACACACAGTCCCACAGGCTGCTGTCTACGTTTGGATCCCTCCCAAAGCTAAGCATCTCATTCTGACATCTCTCTTGTTCTCTGGACCCGTGTGCTCGACTACCTGTGAGACCTCATCTAGTGAACAACCCACATCTCAAGCTCAGCGTGTCTGAGTCTGAATTTTTCTCCTCCAAGCCTTCCTTTTCCTGAATTCTTTTCCTTGATTAGTTGCAAATTGCCATTTCCAGCCCAACACCTAACTGCAAAACCAGTGATTTATCTGTGATTCTTCTTTCCTCGTTACGCATGAAGTCTGACCCCTGTCTCTTCTCTTTTCAAGTATCTCCCTGGTCCCCGCCCTCTGCTCCTTCCTGTTACCTCTCCTGTCCTCGCCTCTCGCGTGTTGTCATCACTTCCTGTCCACACTCTCAGACTTTAATCCTGCCCCTTCGCAGTTCCTCCTTCACTGTCTTGCCAGGTTTATAGTTCTAAAATAAATCTAATTGTAGTCACTCACTTGCTTGAAAATCTTTGGTTTAATTCCAAAGGGTGACTTTGAAACCCTTCATGGTACGGTAGCCGCTGACTTTTTCAGCTGGACTGAGCTGTTTGTGATTTTCCAGACTCTGCGCCTCTGCCTGTTGTGCTCTTCCTCGTTGTATGTCGCACTCCGACTCATCTTTCAGGACTCGGTTCAGATGTCCCCTTTATGTAGCCTCCATGACCACCACCCTGCCAGGCAGGATTAGGGACTTCTCAGAGCTCCCTCAGCACCACCTGACATCCACTCGTGCAATTATATCATTTTTATATTTTATAGTATCTAATATTATATATCATACACATTTTATTATTATATATATTATATTTATATATTTTGCATTCTATTGCAATCCCCTATTTTCATGTCTGAATCACCCACCAAATTTTCAATTTTGAAGTTGTCAACTCTGTCTTAATCATATTTCTAACTCCTAATGCCTAGCCCATAATTAAGATTTAGAAAATGCTTATTTACGAATCAGAATTCATATTTGTAAGTGCTATATAATCCTTCAGTGGTTTTTTTTTTTTTTCTATGCTGTAACTGCTGAAGATTAGTTAGAAATTCCTCTGAGACTTGGCTTCAAAGCTGATTCACAAATCGTAGAAGATGATTGCTCTTTCCATATAATATTTTTGTCCAAAATGCTATTATGTAGACTTATCACCCATCTTATAAGTCAAATTTAATTCTGAACAATTTCTTTCTCTTTCAGAAACTTACAGGTTCTTAGTCAGAATGACATTTTGCCTCATTGAAATTATTCAGAAAAATGTACCCAAGTTCTGAGAACCAATCCAGTGGAAATGAATAAATATTTCTTGGTGCACTGGGCAGCTTTGCTATTAAATGATGGGCTTCCCCAAGGCATTGTTTTGAAAGGACAGTTTTCACTTTGGGCAAGCTCCGGTCACTTCTGTTAACGTTAAGTTAGATGACTTTAGGGATATGCCTGATGGAAGAATTTATAGAGTAAGAGCCACTGAGCAGTGTAGCTGGGGTGCAGGGCCCCTGTCTGTCTCCAGAGCCCAGGTTCTAAACCGCCACGCCATACGGGTACGGCCACATGCGGTTTCATTTGTCTGTGTTTTCAAATTTCAGGAGTTTTCAAGGGAGGAGTGAGGTACTTGGATTTTTGTTTTTTCTGTTATTTAACTCAGAAAATGGAAGCACACAGTTTAATTCCTGTAGTCAAAACCTGTTATAACCAAGCATTTTTTCCCTATACGTGGCTGTGCTGTTTAACTTATTTTAAAGATTCAGTTGAGAAATTAGTCTGTAAATTCAAATTGACTCACATTGTACAAATTGTAGAAGGTGATGGGACAGAGTTTTTAGAACACCTTAATCATTGAGGGAAAACTTGAGAGACTTAGTAAGTTTGAATCTGGTCACCTTTGATCCTGTTCTCCTGAGTAATTGAATATTACTGTAGAAATTAGATTCACTCTGCAACATCTAGTTGTATCTTTTGACTATTTTCTGATTATTTTAATTGTTAAGTATATTTGAGGCAAGGGGCTATACTCTGACTATAGGAATTCCTGGAAGATACATGTTATTCAGTTATTTTCCCCTAATAATTTTAGATACTATCTCTCACAGTATGTATGAATTGCTTGGCATCATAGATAAGATAATGGATGATCCTTGGATAAAAATCCAGGGGTTCATAACAACCAGTAGAATGCTCCTTTCACAGGAACATGATTGACACAGCAGCAACTCTGACTTCTGCCTCTGTTCTCCAGGATATGGTTAACCGGAGAATTGCGATGGATATGATACTCAAGATGGCAGATTCCCAGCGCTTCAGACAGTTCATCCTGCTTACCCCTCAAAGCATGAGGTAACTTTTTAAAACTCTTCTAT